TTTCTTAACTGGATATATTCCAGGTGTGTGTCCTTAGTCCACATCTTACCTCCAGAACAGACATTTCCTCTGAGAGAGCTCAAAGACAGCTGTGGTTTTCACTCCCCCTCCATATTAATGTGCCAGTCATGTCTGTATCTGGGGCCAGATTGTCGTCTGGGTTCAAAGTCCGTCTACTCCAAAATCTACTGAACCTTTATTCTCATTAAATATTTAACAAGCCACCTGAACTCACCATGCCCAACATGGGATGCTTCATCTGCACCTTACTTCTGAACTAAAAACTTGCAGGCCATCTCAAAAGAGGCCTCAGACTCCTTTTCCCAACCCTCATCATACCACAGGAAGTTCCCTAATCCACTGCTCTCCATCCCTCTTCCTATCATCATCACATTAGTCTAGGGTCCCTCGACTCTTTCCCAGGCCACCGCAATTGTATCCAATTTTGCTCATCTTCTCCAGCTCCTCCTCCTCCTGCACTTTCAGAGAGATTTTTCCTAAAGTGTGAATTTGGTATTTCTTTACTGAAAGTCCCCCAAATCCCTCCCTCTCTCACCCTCCAATCCACATATGCAGCCTATGAGATAAAATTCATCTTTTTCCTGAATTGCACTCAAGGCCAATTTCACTAATCACACCTCCCAGCCAGGCAGTATCACCCTATGCTCCCGGGCCTGACATGCAACCCTTCCAAACTTCCATGCCTCTGTACCTGCAATCACTGGTACTAGGAACCAACCATCTCATTTCCCCAAAACACATCCTAATGCTGGTTCCTGTGGTGCCTCTAGAATGATTGCAAATACATGTCAACACTTTCTATTTCTTCATACAATTTACAACACAAGTTCTCAAAAATATGCTCTCCTTTTCCTTAACTCAAACTGTTAAAGATTCACACTGAAAATTCTAAACTCCAGGATGAGTTAGTTTCTGTGGGCCTATGATCTCAATGCTTCCCACAAATTAAAGTGTTCCTTTGAAAGTTTCAGTAATTGAGTTTTTTTTTTTTTTTTCACATACCACCCTTTTCATGGATATTTGGACAACAAATTAGGCTACATTACCTGATAGTACTAATTTCAGACCAGATTTTAGTACTTTAGGTTAATAATGCATAGCATTTACTGGTTACCTACTAGATACAAAACCTGTACTGTATGAGTCAAAGGTTAATGGAAAATAAAAAGCTGGTATCATCAGAGGCTACAGTCTAAGAATTTTGCCTAAAATATTAATAGCTACCATTTAACAAGCACTTACTATATGCTTTTCATCTTCTCAAAAGATGAAACACTGCAAAACACATCACTAACTCTTTTTTACAAAGGAGGAGAATGGGCCTAATAAAAGTTACACAATAAATGACTGAGCTAACATTTGAACGCAGGACATCAGTACTTTTAGCACTCTCACTTTGAATTTGTCTGATTGTGAAATGTTCAACAGTATTTTCTTTGACATACAGTCACCCCATTCTATTCAACCACTGACTCTACTGAGGTCGCTTGCCATATCCATTTCTTTCATCCAGTATGCCAACCACATAGGAGTACTTTACCTATTCAAAATAAAAACCAAACACTAGATTTATACTCACTATATATTATTACTGTCAAATCAAACTAGACTAAGAATAAGAATCCTTTCAGCAAAACCTGTGTCAGTGTGTTAGCATAAAAGCACCAAAAATTTAACAACAAAAAAATCCCTGAGGGGCCTCCCTGGTGGCGCAAGGGATTAAGATGCAACCTATGAAGCTGTCTGCAGCCACTGCAGCATGAGTTTGATCCCCGGCCAGGAAGCTACCCACATGCTGCAGCAGACTTCTCCTGACTCGCCACTGCTCCCCTCAGCAGTGTATTTCAATCAGTCTGCCTGTTCTGTTCCCCACTTTGTCTCTGGTGAATCCTCTCACCACCCCCATCTCTGGCCTGTACCACAGTTCTTGTATGCATAAATAGATCTTTAAAAAAAATCCTTGAGTATACTTCATTTTATGCCAAAGATTTAAAGATCCATGAAACAGCCCTCAGATACTACATATTCAGAAGTAAACCACTGACAAATTCAACAGAAAATTGCACCATCAACCAGACAACTTAAGCAAAATTGGCTAACTACAGTTTTGCAAAATCAGGGATTTTGTTAGCATATAATCATTATTTCAATTCCTTTATTTGTCACACTATAAGACCATCCTTTGTAGTATCTTCTAATACAGGTACTGACACAGGTGTGCAAGTTACAATCCTGGCAGTCAAAATTGATGTCTTCAGGGCCTCCCTGGTGGTGCAAAGGGTTAAGCACCACACTATGAAGCAACCAGCACGAGTTCGATCCCTGGCTGGCCAGAGAGAAACCCACATGGTGAAGCAGACCTCTCCTGTCTCGAACGCTGCTCCCTTCAACAGTGTACTTCAGTCGATCTGCCTGTTCTATTCACCACTCTGTCTCTGGTGAAGCCTCTCACTGCCCCTGCATCTCTGGCTTGTACCCAGCTCTTGTATGCATAAATAAATAAATCTTTAAAAAAAAAAAAATCAATGTCTTCAGTTCATTTATGTTGTTTCAATTTCCATTAGTTACTCTGTGCTTGACAAAATCCAATGGAACTCTAGTTATAGTACTTACCACATTAAAGTTGATATGAGAAGGCCAACACCTACACAATCTATGAACACAACCCAAAGGAGAAGCTTTATCGTCTCAAAAAATCCCATGTCCAACACAAAGCCGAATCCAATAGTGGACACTGAAAGAAAGATTAACAAGATTCATTCAGGCACTTTACTAAGTTTGAGGGACATGGGGCACAGTCCCTGCTCTCCAGATGCTCACAGTCCACTGGAGAAGACAGACATGTAAACAAACCCCCAAAGATGTGTTACATGTGATTAATGAAGAAATGCATACCACCATGAAGCACAAAATGGCCACTGAGATATCTTAAGTTTGCTTATCTGTCTTTGGCTTTAACAGGGCAGCACCAGCATTTAGATTAGCAGCAGTACTAAAAAGATACTCACATATTTTAAGTACAATTAAAGGTGAAAAAACCTTACACACTTCAATACCCTACAAATGATTAGGGCCCTTTCACACTACAGATAATTTAAAAGTAGTTGCTCAAGGTCTTATCAGTACTTCAGAACTCTCACTTTGAATATACTGAACTCTGAAATGCAATTTCCAATCTTGATACTCTTTTTCATTTCTGTATTATTTATTATAAAAGACATGGAGAAACTCTATCCTTCGCTTTTCAAAGTCCTGAGGTAACAGGTTACTCAGGCATCTGCCTAGGACTTGTAAACCAGGAAGAACACAACCCTTTCTCTTGTAAGATTTTTGAAGCTTCAGAAAAGCAGCAGCAGCTTCAAATATTCCCAAATTCTGACCTACAGCACATTTATAACAAAAGATCCCCCAAATGACAAGTCCAATCTGAAACATTCGATTTGTTTGACTCCATGACAAATAAACTAACACTTACCACAGAGCCAGATACTTAGTAAGACCAAGAAAGCAGGGTCATCTCTGGCCCATTGATCCTTTGTCTGTTTTCGGTAATGAAAGTTTCTATAAACTCTCTGTGGAGAAGTGAACAGGTAGAGCATCTGCCAGGCAGCAAACTCAAAGTCCATCTGACGAAAACGAAAAAGTCTTCTCAAGTATTTGTAGCGTTTTGCTCCAGCTGTGTGTCTTGCTGCATCTCTGGAATTCAATACTCCATTCCCCTGCCCTAGGGAATTCATTGAAGTACTTGGCAACATCCTCCTTGATGGAATAAAAAAATTTTTCTTACAATTAATCTTCAGAAACTGTGGGCTAGTACTCCACATCTGAGTTATTTAGGAGTAAGGTCACTTTACATTTCCTCTCCAATCCTTGAGAGGAGTAGGGCATCAAAAGCAAACGGAATTGGTTCTGAGACTTAACTTGGGGGCTTCACAACTGCTTTTTGCACTCCGGGAAAAGACATCATCATGCCTTTCTGAACCATCATACTACTACTTAAATAGGGCCCAGCTGTTTCCTACACACCTTCCTCAATCCTCAGCACTCCCAGGTAGCTGTTATCCAAGGGGGAGAGAGTAAACAGGAGCACTAAGAAGTGACCTCCACAGCGTACTGAAATAGTGATAGGGTCAAAATTTGAACCTTCAAGGAAAAGCCTTTTTTTAAGCCCTCTGGAAACTCTTACTGAAGAGGTAAAATAAAATTGCCTATTCGCAACGGTGCATCAATCAGGGCATGACCAGCAACCAACTCATTCAATAGAATCTGATATGAAAACAAAGCAAAACTAAAATTCCCAGTGTTTTTACTCCCAGAGTAGTTCAGCAGGGGGAACAGCAGTGTGAACGTCTAGCCCAACAATTCTCAAGCCAGGTGAACGCAGGTCAAGGCCCGGTCCCCACGACTCGGCAAGTCTAGTGTCCAGCTAAACTCCTCGGCCTCTGAAATGCAGCCTGTCAGAGTTTGAGGGCTGGGGCACCAGCTTTAGCAGATAAAGACAGAGGACGCCCAGTTACATTTGAATCTCAGACACAGGAAAAATTTTGGTATACGCCTGTCCGAAACATTAAGTGGGGCATACTAATACATTATTCGTTGCTTGTCTGAAATTCAACTGCGGATAGGCGTCCTCAATTTTTATCTAGCTACCTTCCGGCAGGCTGAGCAGCCGGACCTGGGCACGGTCATTCCAGGGCTCAGGAACGCGGGCCGCGAGTTGCCAGAGAAAACAGCACCAGGCACGAGCCCGAGCCGCACGCGGACAGAGCGGTCCTTAGGCCTCACCTGGAGCCCCGGGGCAGCCTCCTCCGGGGTCAAAGCGACCCGCCACCTCAGCCAACAACCCAGCCCAGCAGCCGCCGGGACAACTTCCCTTTCCGCAACGTAGCGGGCGCTCGAGGAGTGACGTTTCCCGTGCGCCCACTTCCGCCGCGCGCACTGCCTCTCGGGCCCCGCCGTACTCCACAGGGCCGCCGGAAGTTGTTGCTGCTAGTTTCCGGTTCCGTCTGTGCGGCGGTCGTATTCTCCCAGCTGGGTCGCCGCGCTTGCGGGGAGAGCGGGTTGGGGCCGCCCGCCCGGGGAGGCGCAGTCATGCCCCGGTATTACGAGGACAAGCCAGAGGAAGGCGCGTGCGCGGGCGTGAAGGAGGACCTGGGTGCATGTCTGCTGCAGTCGGACTGTGTACTCCAGGTAGCGCGGCCGGGTGCCGGGGTGATGCTGACGCCTGGAACGGGGAGGCAGGGCCGGCGAAGGTCTCCCCATCCACCTGCAGTGGCGGCCCACAGACATGACTCGGAGCTAGCCGTCCCGGGTGTAGACCACTGCTCCAGTTTACAGAACTTGGGCAAATCCACTGAGCCGTGGATTTCAAGCCTCAGTTTTCTGTGGTGTTAAATTGAAGATAACGAGGCACCCGGTTAGGTTTTTATGAATATTAAACCATTTCGGTTCGGTTAACCTTGAATTCTGGTACTCTGCTAGGTTCTGGAGACAAAAAGAATGACATACCTTGCGCGATAGAAAATGAGACTCTGGAGTAAAATATTAGATACATCTAGTGTGTTGACTAGTAATTTCTCCTTCCCTTTGTTCAATACTTACCTTGGATTTACCTTGTATTGACTTGCATTTGTTTCTGGGTTGCAGTTCTATACATTTTCCGATAAATTATAAATGAATTGGCTCCCTGTTTTTTTGTCTTGCTTCCCTACACTCTTCCTTCACTGCAGGCACAGGTCTTCTCTGGAGCCGGTCTGAGTGCAGTGAGATTCAAAGTTAACTGGTGATCAAGGTCCTGGCCTAGAGCCCAACTAAAGCACAAGTACCGTTTCCAGTTACAAAGGCCCGATGAGCAGGCAGTCAACTCTGTGCAACTGGTTTTGCTTCTAGAGACGTTACATCAGAAAGTTGCTTATGTTTCAAAAAGACAACTACCCCTAAATGGACATCCACCAGAAGGCTATATAAGTAGTTCTGCTGATTTACGATTTACATTTGGCTCACTGATTTAAGAGTCATCTGGGCTGGTCTCCTACTGTCTAGTAAAATTTCAAAGTTCTTACATATTTAAAAGGTTATCTAGTCCAACTTCCTTACACACATGAGACTGAAATGCTGTCTTCAAGCTTCCCTGTCTGAGGCTGTTTTCTAATCTGCTGCTTGATTGGTGCACATATTCAACCAACTCCTAGTAAATGCCTATTAACTAGTACCTACCACCCCCTGTAGATAAAAGATTAATCAGTTCCTGTCACAATCTACAAAGGCTTAGTTTGATGGTGTCTTGTGCAGGAGATAGCGTCCAGTGAGTCTCAGGTAACGCGTGATCCTGGACATTAACTCAGGCTGAAGTAGACCAACTCATTATAAAGTAGAAAGTAGCATTTTTTTTTTTTTTTCCATTGGAGACCTGAGGCACATTCACTTACAACCCACACTCTGACAGTGACTGTCTCTGTCACTAAGGAACCCCTCCCCAATACACTCTTTAGATGAAATAAAGTTTTCACCACTAACAAATACTTTAGGCTAACAACCCTGTAGGCTAATGATACAGAATCCATTGTGAAGAGGTCACGGGCATAACATCCATGAGTTCAAGAGCTGTAATGACCTCATGAAAAGAAAAAAGCGAGGACTCCAGTCCTTTTATTATGCTGCCATTTTATTCAACTTTAAATATAGAGAGCTTTCACCTGTTTCTCGGAGAGCAGCAAACAGACTGTGTCCCTGTGGTGGTTGTGGGGAGAAGCCTGAAAGGATAGCTTGTGCAGTCAGGGAAATGTGAGAGGGGACCAGGAGAAGCTGGTGCCTTTGGGGCCTGGAAGATGTGGAACGTGAGATGGCTTAAGAGGAAGGTTGCCATAGGTGAAGACCCTTGTGTGTCAGAGTGAGCAGATTTTGTCTTGGCATTCAGTGTCAGGGAGGTGATGCAGAGGAGCAATCTAGAAGGTAAAGTACACAGTAGGACTAGAAAAGAAACTGCAAGAGGAGGGTACTGGTGGCAAGGACAGTAAGTTGGTGTTTTGTAATGACTGATTCCTTTATTTAGCAAACATTTGCACACTAACTAAACTAATTCAGGGGACATACAGATGAATGGAACATTCACTTCTGTGTAAAAATTGAATCTCTGGAAAGCTAGACAGCTGTCGGCAGAGGTATTGACCAGGCAATATGGCACAGACTTCACTAGGTATATGGCCTTACTGGTGCAGAATTTGATCGACTAGTATCCTGATGTTAATAAACAGTCCCTTCAGTGCAAGTGCATTTAGTATGTTAAATTCATCCTAAATGGTGACTTCCAACTGGAGTGTGAAAGGGCAGTGCTGAGGTGAAACATTGCATATTCTGATGCAAGGCAATCGCCTACCTTCTTACTTGGTATCACTGGTATTGCCTACCCTACCCCACTAGGGACTCTGAAGACCAACGGAGGTTCTATTGAAGTCTGCGCCTGCTCTGTATGACCATCTCACTTTAAGATTTTTCATTCCTTAGCTTCTTGAATAAAGAAGTTAGTTTAATCTTCTGGTAAAAGATGGATGCTCCTTACCAATCCTTAACTCACTTGAAAAGTTGCTGGACCTCAATCTCAGGAGGAATTCAACATATTTAGATCTATTGACTTTGATGAGCGATGGGGAACTATAGTGACTCAGATCTGTTCATTAATGAATAACGATGATTAGGATGTAAACTCAAGTGGAGAAACAAGGCAAAAGCAGATTCTAAAGGCATCTCTTATTGATAAGTGTTCTTAGGATTTTATGACTCCAGGGAGATCAAAAAGGTTGAAACTATGTCTGAGGAACCTCATTCATCACATTATCTTTGTATCTCAACAGCTTCCAGACATGCTGACTTCATCAGAATATGTGGGGATGGAGGCAGAGTGCTTAAAAGTACAGATTTCACTGCCCCCCCCCCCACTTCCTTTCAGCCTTGGCAAAAAACTCGAGAGTCCATTAGGATATATATTCAGGTACATAGTACAGAGACCCAGAAGAATGGTATCTTGAACTAGATAATCTGTCTTTTGCTCTTGTGCCTGAAAGAAGGGCTGGCTGGCTCCTTTTAGTCTTTCATGGACCCAGACGACCTGGACCTTTAGGTTTTAGGTGCTGTGATGGGAAATAAGATATTGCTGTCACATTCATGGCCCAAGATTGCTTTGCTTCCATATCATCAGGCCTAGAAATGTGATACATGGGGAAGAGGGCAAGGCATGTTCCTTTCAGGACCAAACGAGAAGTTTTACATTTAATCCATCACACTTTCCATTGTATGGAACCCCACTGTAATCATATAACCACATCCTGCTGCATGGGTGGCTAGGAACTCTAGCCTAGCCATATGCCCCACTAAAAAGAAAGAGTGGATATTAAGGTACAACTTGCTGTGTGCCATTTCAGGGTGATGAAGGTAGAGAAGGAGGATGAATTAACTTCTCTTTTTCTTAGTTTAGTGTAACTACATGGACCTTTCCACTAGGTAGTTAGCAGATGGGTTGAAAACTTGTAAAAAAAAAAAAAAGATGACAGATTAGGTTCAGGAAGCATCAGTTTGTAAATATTACATATAGCCATAGTCTTATATAGTTTTGGTCTTTCATCTGCCTCCAGTGTCCATTTGGACAGCACACCCCGTCAGCAGCCTTTCATTACAGTTTGGACGAGGAACATACTAGCGTGAGGAAACTTGCTGCTGTGTTCCACTTGGGAGAATCATTTATGTGGGTGACAATTGAAATCGAGGACCCAAGCAGATGTAGACTAGAGAATGTCCAAGATTCTTGGGGATTAGGAATATTATAAGGTGGCACCCTGTAACTTTTTCACAGTAAAAACTAGGGGAGTATATCTGGAACTTGCAAAAGAAAGGTTGTGGGAGTGGTTGCAATGGTGAGGTTGGTGTCAAAATCTGCTTGAAGGGAAATTCCTGATAATAAAGAACAGGTGAAATCTGAGCTACATTTTTTTCTGATGCCAGAAGGTCCCAGATGTTTGTATTTAAACAGTAGTATAGTCTACCTTCTTAACATCTATCTAAAGTGCTTATTTCTTGCACTTTAGATAGATGTTTGAATGTGAGGATAGATGTTTGAATTTTAGATAGAAATGTTTGAATTTGAGGACACCTAATTCTGGCTGTTTGAGCTTTTAAAGTCAACACTGAACAGGTCATTTTTATTCTCAAGACAAAATTGCCTGACTACATTGCATCTCCCCTCAAATAGGAAAATTCCATGATCTTCCTTCATATAGTCAAGCACTGCATGAGGTCAATATTTATAAACTGTATTTTTTAAAAGATTTATTTATTTATGCATACAAGAACTGGGGTACAGGCCAGAGGTGTGGGGAGTGAGAATATTCACCAGAGACAGAGTGGGGAACAGAACAGGCGGCTTGACTGAAACACACTGCTGAGGGGAGCGGCTGGTGAGTCAGGAGAGGACGGCTGCGCCATGTGGGTTGCTCTGTGGCTGGGGATTGAAGTCATGGTACAGCAGCTGCGGATAGCTTCATAGGTTGTGTCTTAACCCCCTGTGCCACCAGGAAGGCCCTAAACTGTATTCCTTTTAAACTTTCATTATTACTTAATAGTTAGCATTTGTATAGGAGCACTTTCTTTCCTACCACCAACAAACTGCCCTGGGTAGGCAGAGGGGGGAGGGAGAGGGAGACAGAGGGAGAGAGATGAGGGGAGAGAAAGGGGGGGGGAGAGAGAGAGAAGAGAGCGAGAGAGCGAGACCTTTGTGAAGATTTAGTTACTTAGACAAATTAGTCAGGTTGGGTTTCAATTGGAGAAATTTGGCTGCAATTAATTTTAATCTTGCCTCTTTGAATTGTGAAATATGCTTTCTATAGATTCTTCCATGCATCCAATGTATTCTTCGTGCCTTTTTGTTAACTGTGTGGCAGTACATATGTTAAACATTTCATGATAGAGTTAGTAACAGAATTTTTATTCAGTATTACTCATGAAAGGAAAATACCTATTAAAAATTTTAGCTCTTACCTATTTTTGCAGCTATTTTGTAAATCTGATTTTCAATGGTTGTAAAAAGTCTTGTTAAGAAACAGAAATAAGCATTTCTCCTGTGAACATTCTTATAGCAGTGTCCTACCTTGATGGCTGAAAAGGAACGGTTTATTTTTTATTTTATATTTATTTTTAGATCATTGTTCATTTTTGTAAGTTTGACCCCTCCCCTGAGGTGTAGTGCCCATAAAACTCCCATCACCAAATCACCCGTGAACCGTCACCATAGTCTCTTGTGCTCTTCCCTCCCCTTTTTTGACTCCTATGCCTGCAAGTTTGTCTTTTTTTTTTTTTTTCCCTGACCTCTTGTTTGGTTTCCTTATATTCCTCCTATAAGTGAAAGCATCTGATATTTTTCTTTTTCCTTCTAACGTACTTCACTGAACATGATCCCTTCCAGCTCTGTCTGTGGTGCTGCAAATGGCATGAGTTTATCTTTTTGATTGCAGAGTAGTATTCCATGGTGTATGTATGTTACATCATCTTGATCCAGTAATTTGTTTTTGGGCATTTAGGTTGTTTCCATAACTTAGCTATTGTAAATAGTGCTGCAGTGAACATATGAATGCAAGTTTCCTTTCAAATTAATGTTTTTGTGTCCTTTGGGTAGATTCCTAAGAGTGAAATTGCTGGGTCATATGGTCGATCCATTTTTAATAATTTGAGAGTCCTCCACACAGCTCTCTATAGTGGTTGGACCAGTTTGCATTCCCACCAGCAATGTGAAAGGATTTGAAAACTAATAGTTTAATCCAGTTTTCTTAACTCTCTTTGAGCCTTCCGACTCAGACTCAAACCTCAGACTCACACAGAACTTTTCTCACAAGCATATGTAAATTCTGCTAACCTCTCTCTTTCCGATTCTTAGTTCAACTTTTCAGAATACAAACCCTGTGTGGTTAGGGGATAGAAAAGGCAGAGATGTGTTGGAGGTAAAATTGTTTGTATTAAAATTATATAACCGAATACTTTAAAGCCACTTGATAATACCTTCCAGAACAAATCATAAGCATTCCTGCTCTCTCACCTGCCCTATCCCTCACATAAACACTATTTCCTCTCTGCCTTTAGGAGTCCTTGGGTGAAAATGTTTTTAAAATGCTGAAGAAACACCACTACTATCTTCACTTTTATTCTTTCTCTTTACATATAAGGAGTTAAAAGAGATCATCTCTAGATTTTTATATAAATATGTTAAAGTATTCCATGAAAACCTGTTTTCAGGAACACTTAAAGGGCCAAAGTTACTTGATCCATTTTTCCCCTGCATCCTTTTCTCTTTAAGCAACAGTAGTCAAAGTGAATACATACTGGTTCTGATGTTATTCTTTTCTCTTTTAACTTTTCAAAAAATGTAATTTCAGATTAATTGTTATTTTGTATTTTGTGAGATTTCCCATATATTTACATTAATTTTGTGTCATAGGAAGGAAAATCCCCTCGGCAGTGCTTAAAGGAAGGAAACTGCAAAGCTTTGAAATACTCTTTTTTTGAATGTAAAAGATCAATGGTAAGTGGTTAAAGATTTTTAAAAGTTAATGCTAAAAATTAGCTTTCTGGAGTTAAACATGTGAGTGACTTAGTAGTTATAATTAAATTGCAGTGATATCATCTGGGAGAAAAATGGATGTAGATATTTCTTAACTCTAATAAATGAATGTTAGGTGGCACTCATGAACTCAACACTAACTGTTCAGTTACTTGACCATTGTGCTAACTACAGCTGCTGATCTTCATGAATTTCTAAAAGTATGAGAATAAAATCTTGCAAGAATAAATGGTAAAAGCTGATATTGGTCACTGTGAATTCATTTGGCAGTTACACACAAACCCGTAATGTGGGGTTTTAATTTTAAACACAGTGCCTTAAAGTTAAGATGTGACTAAGGCAAAATGTTCATATCTGTTTGAATTTTTGGGGTGATGGTTGTGGAAAGAGAGCCTGAAAGGACATTGTAAATTTCTAGGTTTCCATTCTGACAGTCTCTGATTTAAAAAATTTACAAAGACCTTTGGAGTGGAAACTGACAGCTGTCTCTTTGTGAAACGTAAATATAAAATCAGAAATATGAATGCCACTTTAAAGAAAGCAATAACGTGAACCTGCTTTTGTTTAGAAACTGCTGCATACTGCTTGTTGACAAGAGAAGCAAAGCATATAGGATATTTATGACCTGGGAGGCCAAAGAACTCGAGCTTGCTTCTTAACTGATCAGATCCAGGGTGTAATGTATAGTTAGATTAAATTGGCCATGCTCCTACTAGAGGGGGAAGGTTGAGGAGTGGGGAACACAGGAAGAGGGAGCCACAAGTCTATGGTGAAGGACTATGGGTGCTTTGGTGATGGGTGTGGTGTGGTGACATACATTTGAGGAGGTATGACCCTGTACCCCTAAATCATATTCAGTGTTGTAAACTAATGTTACCTTAATTTAAAATAATGGCCTTGCTCTTGCCTTTCTTATGTGACACAATTCTCTGTCATATTGTCCTGTCAGTATACAAATAAGGATTTTTTTTGCCTTCTCTCACAGTTTGCTTATCCATGCAAAATATAAGCCTTTATATCTTTCAAGAATTTTATATCATGTTTAGGTAATTGAGTCATCATAAAGAATAGTTAGGAGATAATGGTAAATTTTACTATTTAATTGTATAAATAAACTCTCTGAAATTCCCTGCCTAAAAATCAGTCTTTGAACTCTGAAAGTCGTAAGAAATAAGAATTTCAAAAGATTTCACTATTTATCTACTTTCTGCAGAAACCTGTGGCAATCTTGAAAAAAAATTAAAAGTACTTCTGACCATTTTTTAGTATATATATATATATATATATATATATATATAAGACAAGTTTTACTTACATTTTGACACTGCAAATTTAAGTTTAGGAAACTTTCTAGTAAACTGAGTCTTATTGCCTTTGTCCAAGACTGTAATTCACTGTTAGTCCTCCAAGATAGTGGAGTCATGTCCACACATAACTAGTGCAACCTCAGTTATACACACCTGGCAAAAACTCAGAACATAATAAATTATGCTGTAATTTTTCTTAATAATTCATCATTGCAGGACCCAGAGTGAAGGTAAGATGGTAACTCTTCCCTCATATAAGCATCTCATCCTGATATAATTCCCATATTCAAATTTTTTTTTTTTAAAATATGGTTTAGATACACTTATGCTCAGATGAAGAAATAACTAGTTACCCAACTCTGAGTGTGTTGAACTCACTTAGAGGTCTTTTTCCAAAATAATTCTTTTCTGTAGAATTTCTTGATAGTGATTTTTGGTTTTCTGTGCAATTTTGCCTCATATAAATAAGTGGTTGCACGTGAGGCTCAGTTAAAGAACATGTTCTCAGCCAATAAATAGGTAAATTAAGGCCTTTTCAGATAACAAAGTGGCTAACAGTTTTCAGGGCTATTTCATCTTTTCTTAGTTGCTATTTAAATACATTTGAATATCAGCCAAACAAAATTTACTTCGTAAGTTAAATTTGCTAGAATGACATATTGTTGAGTGTATTTCAGAGAAAAAGGGAAATATAATTTGGATTTGAGAAGAAAAATCTTTATTGTAACCTTAAATGAAACTTTGTTTTTAATTGTCACCTTTATTTTTTTTCTCTGTAGCTAACAATTGCCTTTTTGATTTTATTGGAAGCTACTGTATTTCTCTCATGTAGTGGCAACCTTACCACAATTGTGTTTAATTAGCTATACTGTATAAAACTTGATTTAACTGTGCACTTATTTTCAGTTGGATGCCAGGTCAAGATTCAGAGGACGAAAAGGATATTGATACTACTATGTTGAAGCAAGATGAGATCAACAAATATCTTTTCCATGGTTGTTAAAACAGAGAACCCAAATAGGAAACATTTGCTGTATCTGTTTTTTCCCCCCTCCATGGAATACTGGAAAAAAATGGATGAGCTTTGTTTCTGAACATGTATGATGATTCTCTTGCTTTAGGTTATTTTTAGAAGAAAACTTTATTTATGGGCTGGGAGCATAATAAATGTGTTTAGAGAATTGTTCTAAAGCACGAACTATTATTAAACTTAACTCAAAAATGACACAATTTGTGTATCTTATGTGAATATTATGAACACCACTGGTGGGACTATTAGAATCAACATGGAGCCTGGTGAACTGTCTGCCAACAAATTTCAGGACAAAACCTTACTTTACTCTATCTGCCCTATTTCATTCTAAAATAGTGTTTGATTCCTTGAAGTGCTTCATTTGATTCACTTAAGTAACAACCTCAAAATTTTAACATCATGCATTAGACATAGCTGGACGTTGCCAGTTCTTTGCTTCCATCTCTTGATGGTTACTCTGTTCCCTGGCTTAATTTTCAAGCTGGCCCTCTCCACATAAGGGTATCAGTCCAAAGCACATATCCTTAATATCTCTGATTCAAAAAGAAAAGCGAGATCCTCCTTGTCTAACATCTACTAATCAAATCCTACAAAAGGAATGTCTTCCCTAGATCACCTTCCCTTGAATTAGACCATCCCTTTGGGAAAAGGGTAAGGCCTATGACCTTGTCAGCCCTTGACCTTGTGCACTAGAATTGGCAACTCCCATCAGAATCATACAGGAAAAGGATTCAGGGCAAACTGAAAGAACAGATGTTCACTATAGAAAGCAAGAGTGACAAATGCAAAATGTTTGAAAAAGCTTAGAATCACAGTAATTCTATATTATTTAATAATAGTAAAGAAGGCCTTCCTGGTGGCACAGCGGGTTGAGTGCAGCACTGTGAAGCTCTCCACAGCCTCTGTGGCGAGGGTTCGATACACTGCTGAGGGGAGCAGCAGGCAAGATAGGAGAGGTCTGCTGCTCCATGTGGGTCACCTCCCTGGAGGGGGATCGAACTCAAGCTACACTGGCTGCTGATAGCTTCATAGGTTGCCTTTTAACCCCTTGCACCACCAGGGAGGCCCTCTTGATGGATCTTTTAAAGACAAGCTAGAACATGGATGAAGCTAGAAGAAATCATGCTCAGTGAAATAAGTCAGAAAGAAAAAAAAAATACCGGATGGTCTCACTCATAGCAGGAATTTAGAAAACTTAAATAAGAGACCAGGAAAAGGACTAATCAATATCAAAATCAACAAGCCAACTATAAACCAGAGACACACTAAGGGGGGGGGGGCGGTCGGTGGCGAGAGGAAGGGCTAGAGTCAAAATAAGGGGGGGTGCAATTGTATGGGGAATATTACCATAATGAAAATGCATACATTGTGCAAAGATGAAAGATGATGTAAGAATTATATAAAATATTTTTAAAAAATAAAGACAAGCTAGTGGTTCTGTGATACACTTAAAAATAATTTTCGTTCCAGTATTAATAATTATATTTTTAACTTGTGGTATAACAATAATGTATAGTAATTCCTCTTCTGCAACCAATCTCCAGAATCCTTTTCATTATTTCATGTGTTTGTCAGTCATTTGTAAATCTTCTCTGGAGAAATGTCTGTCCAACTTCTTTGTCCATTTCTAGGTAGGTTTGTTTTTAGCTCTTTTGTTGAGTTGTAGGAGTTCTCTGAATAGCTATACCCCTTAGCAGGTAGGATTTATAAATATTTTCTCCCATTCTTCAAGTTATCTGTTCATTGTGTTTTGTCCTTTGATGCAGTTTTCAATCTTTGTGTGTCTATTTTATCTGTTTTTAGTTTTTCTTACCTGTGCTTTTCTTACCTTGCAAGAAATCATTGCCCAACCCAATGAAGCTCTCCCCATAAGTTTTCTTTTAGTAGTTGTAAACTCTTTCTAGTTTTTTTTTTTTATCTCATTTGAGTTGATTTTTTTTTTTATATGGCATAAGGGAAAAGGTCCAACTTAATTCTTTTGTATGTGGAGGTCCTGTTTTTATAATATCATTTGTTGAAGACACTGTCTTTTCTTGACTTACTGGTCTTGGTACCTTTATTGAAAGTCATTTGACCATATATGCCAGGGTTTATTTCTTGTTTCTTTATTCCACTGGCCTCTATGTCTGTCTTTATGCCAATGCCACACTTTTATTACTATAGTTTTGTCATAAGTTTTGAAATCAGAGAATATGAGACCTGCAAAAGTTCTTTTCAACATTGTTTTGACTATTCAGAATCCCCTGAGGATTCTGAGATATCATATGAGCTTTAGGATTTTTCTTTTTCTGCTAAAAGAGCCACTGGGATTTTGATAGGGATGATATGGAATTTAAAGATCACTTTGGAGGCCTCCCTGGTGGTGCAGGTGGTTGAGCGCCGCACTGTGAAGCTGTCCGCAGCCTCTGCAGTGCGAGTTTGATCCCTAGCTGGTGAGAATCCCACATGGCGAGGCAGACCTCTCCTGTCTCGCCTACTGTTCCCCTCAGCAGTGTGTTTCGTCAGTCTGCCTGTTCTGTTCCCCGCTCTGTCTCTGGTGAATCCTCTCACCCTCCTGCGCATCTGGCCTGTACCCCAGCACTTGTATAAATAAATCTTTAAAAAAAAAAATAAAGATCACTTGGTATAGTATTGGCATCTTAACAATATGAAGTCTTTCAACCCACTTACATGGATATCTTTCACATAGCAATCATTTTTCTTTAAGCAACATTGTGTAGTTTTCAGTGTATCAGACCTTGCCTCTGTATTTTATTCTTTTTTGATGCCACCATAAATGAAACTTTTTTAAATTTCTCTTTGCTTACTGAATGATGGGTTAACATTTAATTTTTATTGTTAAATGTAAGAGATATGCAGAAAAGGCATATGCTGTTCGTATAATGTTAACAAATAATTATAAAGTAAATCATGTAACTCCATTCAGAACCACAGGACATTGTGTAAACCCTCTGAGAGACCCTCCTGCTAACTCTCATAGTTGGTGTTTGCCATACTCTGCACCTAAGTTTGCTTTCTCCGTTGAGCTTGCTTAATTTGGTTCCTTGTGTTGTGATCAGAATACCTGATACTGTGCAGAGAAAAGCAACATGTCTTACCTTTGAAGAGGAAAGACTTCAAATGAACATCACAAATATCTCACCTTTTCATTCCATAAACTTTTTTGAGTAGTGCCATGGTAACAGGTATTAGATTTGCTACTATGAACAAAAAACGATACACTAGACAGAGTGAGAGATAGTATGATGGATAGGATATATATAATAGTCATATTCGAAATTAAATGACAGAAATGTCTTTAATGGGTCAAGTCATTCTGTGGAGAACAATCTCCATGGAAGAGGGTGGGCCTGAGATGAGCTTTGAGGGAGGAATATGAAAGCTGAGGGGCAGTGATCCTGCTGAGAAGGAAGAAAGAGCAGGGCTGAGCACATATGGATAGAGATTTTGAGCTGAAGAGACATGTATCTTGGTAAGTTAGGTCATGTGGAAGGGAAAGGAAGGGAGAATGTGACTCAAGATGGCAGAAGGGGTTACTTAGAAGGGAGTGCAACCAGCTTGAAGGAGGGAATGCATGAGTTTGGTGTTGACATGCTGTTTGAAATGTGGATAAGTCACTCAATTAGAATGACTAAGATATGACGGGATGTGTAGATGGACCTAGACCTTGAGAGAGAATGTGAAATAGACCTAGAAATTTGGGAGTCATTAGCAAACATGTAATTTATTCCACAGTAATGGCTAAGGCTTTCCAGGAAGAGCATCCAATATAAAATAGAAGAAAGTTATGGTCAGAAACCTGGGGAACACCATCATGTAGTGATGTGTGGCAGATGACAAGCAGATCAGAGAATGAATGGTCAGAGGTAGGACGGCCAGGAGAGAGGACATATATATGTCAATTGAGGGATGAGTGGCAAGGAGGAGGATGTCATGAAGTATAATGTCCTTCTAGATCGCTAATATATATTCTTCCCAACTGTGGAAACATAAGCAAGTTTCCTCCTATCCTCTATCAGCTTTTTTTTTGTTGTTGTTTTTTAGTCTAATAAATGGTAAAGAGTGATAGCATCAGAAAGGTCTATATTTGAAAGCAGACTTGCCTGGACTGGCCAAAGGAGCCCACTGGGAGTCTGGTGCAGGAAGAAATCTCATAAAGATATTCCAAGGGGGAGTTTGGAGTGTGGATATTCTGATCCTACAATCTCAGGAATCAATGTCATGGGTAGTTAGAACTGTAATAAAAATAAGACAGTTATTACCCCCTGGCAAATGTTAGCACAGAAATGGGGAAGGGGGATCTACCCATGGTGGAATAGGCTAAAGTAGCAGCTCAGGGCTAAGAAGGCTGCTTGGTGGCTGGGGCAGGTGGGAGGCACCTGTGCTGGCTGACTTGTGGGATTGCACTGCAGTTCTGAGCCTTGTGAAGCCCCTACCTATTCTCCCCACTTAAAACTCATCATTTGCCTTCCAGACACCTCGCGGACTGAGCAGAGCTGACATCTCCTGGTTCAGTGTGTCTGTCCTGGCCAGAGTAAGCAAGTCATTAAGCAGTCAGTTGTAGTTGGTACCATTTGGCTTCTAGGGCCCCAGTGGGAGCACAGAGCGTGCTAAAGAGGGGCATGTTTTCCTCTCTACAGTTCATATATCTCCCTCACAGAGCGCGTGGCTGCTTGTTGCTCCTGGGAATGGAAAAAAAAAGTCTTTGGGGTTGTCATGCCTCTCAGAGATTTCTGTTTGTATTTTTTTACCTTACTATTCTCAAATATTGGATTTTATCCACTATAAATGTAGTTATTCCACTTTTGTAATATAAAGGGCCTTTGTGAAGAAGGTACATTTAAAAATATAAAAATAACAGCTCTGGGTCAGCTCTGTCCCTCCCTCTGTTCAGGTCCTGGTGGGCACTATGGGGATGGACCTGGCAGCTAGTGCTGCTCCTCCCAGGGAAGCTTAAGCCTCTGGCCTAGAGTTTCACACACTGCAGAGCAGTACCTCATATCATCTCCTAAGAGGAGCTTGTAAGGAACAATATTTTCTTTGCAGGGGGCAGGGGGGGAGTTTGTTTCCAAACAGAGAGTTTTACAAGGGCTTGCTGGAAAGTTCTGATCTGGATGGGCCCACCCTAAAAACCTAACAGGACATCAAGGTGTGAGGCTAGGCCCTTTTGCTGGCCACAGGTTCCCAACATTTCCCAGGCACTTTCTCGTCCTCTCCTGAGAAGAAATGGAAGCGCTGGGAGCTCTTCAGTGTGACTGAGGGGTTGCATTGCCCAGTGTACACTTCACCCAGGAAGATCAGTCTCATGATTGCAACCTGAGGTACACCCAATGCTGATGAGATTTCATAAGAAACCTATCCAAAAATGGTACCAACTTGTTTAATGTTGTTAGTAAAGAAATAAGGGAACCCATTAGAAAACAAGCAGTAGCCCAAGGGCCATCATCTTTAGCCTTGGAAAAATTAAAAACAAGGAGACATCAACCTCTAGCCCCTTACCTTGCTCCAATGCAAAACTTCCCTGGGCAAAGCCCCTAGACCCACACAGCCGGGCTGAATTGAGCCTTCTGCCAAGTAGAGGTTGAAACAGAAACCACCACAGGGAGAGCAGCAAAATGGCATTGAGGTGGCAGAAGAAACTCACGGTGACCGGTGGCTGGGTGTCCTGAAATGTCCTTTTCTTGCTTATCTTTAAAGAAGCAAAAGCCGGGCTGGGGAGTATCTTTGCACTCCCCTTTGCGGGGGAGTCACTCTGATCTTAGCAAACTCTAAATATGACACCATTTTGTGCCAAAATAATTCGAGTTCATCTAAATGTAAAACAAACTATTAGGTACAAAACTAAGAAGAGATGAATATTTTAAAATCATCGTGGGGTGTGAAAACTGCCAGAACCATGAATGACATTACCCTAAACAAGGCGGATGGGACGAGCGCAGCAATGCAGGCCCTCTCTCAGGCACAGTGCCAGCTTGGTCAGTGGCACCTTCAGTGGGGGGGGAGGGGGGGGGCAGGATTAGAATTCAAAACAAGCAAAAAATGGTACATTTGAATACATAAAAATGTAAAACTTCTATATATGCACTATAAAGAAAACCAAAAGACAACTGTCAACCAGATTTTTGAAAACTAACATATGACAGAGGGGTCAGTATATTGCATATGAAAATCACTTACTTCCAATAAAAAAGACTGATACTCCAATGAAGTCACAAAGGTAGAAATGTCAGTAAAAGTACGATGTTCTGTTTTCACAATAATCAAAGAAATGGAAATTCCAACAAGGTGACAGACATTTCCAGCATCATGAGAATAAAAGGAAAAAGGCATGTGCTTTTTTTAAGGTGGTAGCTTAACTTTCTGGAGTACTTGCTAATATATAAATTCAAACATTAAAAACCACTTAAATTATCCTTGTGGGAGTTTATCCATCGGAGATCATTGGGCATGTGTGCTCAGAAAAGAGTGCAAAGATACAAGATACAGTCCTGATTATAACAAACAACCACACTATTTGTTGAAGTACATTTCATCAAGTTATACAACAGATGACCTGGCACGCAACCCACAGAGAAGATGCAATCGGAGTTACAGACTTAGGAAAGAAACATCACCTAGCATTTAGGAACATCTAATTCCAAGACACCTCACATGAGGAATGCTCTGCTGTATCCATACTTTGCACACAAGGAGGCCGAAGCTCAGAGAGGGCTAGCAACTTGCTGTGAGTCACCAGCCAGCAAGTAGCAGATGAGGATTGGGACCCAGGTCTGCTGAAGCTGAAGTCCATGCTCTTATTCCAACTTCTTGCTGCCCTTCTGCTTTAAATTAAGTGAAAATAAGGTTAAAAAACACAAGTCTTTCCTGGTCTCGCATTTACAAACATTTGAGCAGTCCATGCGGTTTCCCTCAATGATGGTCCAGTCAGCTACCAGCCACAGAACCAGTCTTCCTTGTGTAAGAGAATGAATCAGGCAAGAGCAAAGTTTAATGTTTGTGTCAGTTTTTTATTATTTGTCATTCTAAAGACTAGCACATTTACAGCATACATGGCTTTGAATGAGCTAAGAATATATAAAACAGTAACTATATGTTTATATATATTAATACTGCCCAAAACAAATAAATAAAAGAACTTTAATGCACTAAGCTTGGCAAATACAATTGTGTAGGGACAAAACTGTATTATACAATATTTATACATTTTTAAAGGAAACCAAAGGCAACTGTGCTGCAGGTGCTTGACAAAATCCGTGTCAATCTGGGTTTTCAGTAATCTCAACATTTCCTTTTAAATTGGGGGTGGGGGGCAAGGCCTTTAAGGAACACTGGATGGAACCTCTATTTTATGGCAACCTGTAAAACTACCTGTCTTCTGCAACTGAAAACTCACAGCTCCTATATGACCCAAGGGGCTGCTATCCACCACGACCCACAACGTGTCCTTCACTCAGCAAGCCTGGTAAGTGCGTGATGCCACCATGAAAGTATGTCACACCGGAGCCCAGCAGTAATGCTCAAAGATAATGCTGAAACCTGAAAATTTTCTGCATGATTAGCCAAGTCTTAGAGTTTTATGGCGATCCATAATATGAAGCCAAAACTGGGGAAAGAATTCCCCACATGCAAATTGCTAACAGGTGACTCAATATTTGCCATATCCTTTTGATAAATGTAGCTATTTAATGTTTTTCAGACAGAACAAAATCTGAAAACATCATGGATAACATTTAAGTTAAAAAGATGGGGAACATTTTTTTAAAAGTAGTAATGTTAAAATAAGAAAAGATGGAAATATATAGGTACTAGAAAAATTATAAATAAAATGGTGGAGAAGTGCAAGGCTAAATGAGCCATACTGGAAACTACATATCTTTGAACAGAGACAAGTGGAGAATCTGACACCAGCTGCTGCCACCTCGCAGAGGATTTGGCAGGCAGGGGTTCTCTGTTCCTCCCTCCACAGGGAGTGCAGCTTTGAGAGGGAATAATGAGCTGTGCCCACCCTCACTGATGTGTCCCCTACACAGTCCACACCCCACAGGTAGGACCTCTCCCCCAGCAGGAATCAGGAGATAGCAGGCTGTCTGCATAGTGACTTCTGAGTAAGGAGGGTTTGGGAAGGTCATCCAGTTTCACCCCTACCTGATGCCATGCCCTCTGTGTCCCCGCCTAAGGACGGTCTGGCCTACACCCAGCTCCCTAGGCACAACCTGTTACATGTTTCCAAGTGGCATTACTAAAGGAATAATATCTGGAATTATAGACATGGGAATTTTCTAAGGATTCACAAATCATTAGGATCAGTATCATGAATATATACCACATATATTTTTACAACCTTTTTAAATAACATGTAAACATAATCATCATAATACACATAATTAATAAAACATATAAACTAAGAAAAAAACTCTGCTATGTGCAGATAAGATGCATCATCTCATAATAGATGACCGGACATAATTTTCTATGAAATTTCTATGGTCCATTAATCCCTTTCAAAATATCACTTGAAGAGATACTTTCGATTTTCTCAAGAGTCATCTTATAATAACAGAATGACAAAGGATAATAAAAATTATTGCAAATCTAAAAAGACACTATCAGACATTCAAACATGATTGTATTGTCTATAGATGATAGATTGGGAAACCCCCAGGAGGACCTCTGTTCTGAAAATACTGAGGCTTCCACTCTACAAGCATAAATGCTACTGTTAGTCTGAGTGGCATCAGCTGTACTACACAGGATGTCCTGGAGTGACATAACTCAGCATCCAGAGAGAAAGGGAGACATACCCTGGGGGTGCCTGGGGACTAGACAGGGAGCTTAGAACAGGAACCAGCCAGATTCACCGTCTGCAGGCAGACACTCTATTCTGTGACTCATAAGGGACAAGAAAGGCTGACTGCACTGTGTAGGTGGTTTTCAATGTGTTACTTTCTAATGTAGTTTTATCTCAGGCTGATTTTAACTTTCACTTCAACTTCTGGTTTCACGGTGACATTACATTACAGATAGCATATCTATTATACATTATAGCAGGATATTTCACTGCAGGAGAGAGTGCTAGCTACTTTACCCAAAACTCAAGTTAACATTTAAAATTTATTGGTCTGCCCAGGATCCAATTACTTAATATATATTTAGTGTTTTACATTCAGATATTTAAAAATTAGATTGTAATTCATTGTTTGATTTTCACTGAGTAGAAAAATAAGTTAGGTGAGCAGCTGCTCAAGTGGGTATTTAAAAAAGTCTTCTAGCATTTCAGACATATCTAACTTGATTTATATAGGTAACTATCCATGACACTGTGTGGTTAGGCTGAAGGCTACTGAACTGGGCAGTGGTTACTATCCACACTACTGAGTCAAACATCACCTCCTACTGATTCCAACGTGGGAGGTAGGGGACGAGACATGCTCCATAGATTCTTTAGAGAAATATTTTTAAAACACAAAAATAAAAACCAATCCTTCAGGTCTTCTTGGAGAATTCATATATGACACTAGAGGGTACCCACATTTATTACGTAACAGCTAATTAGAGGAAACCGTGTGTTCATGTTTCAACTTTTCCGTAAGTCCCTTCGGGAGGCCTGTAATGCTTGGGGAAAGCCTTCAGCTGCAGGGAATTAAATGCATATTTGCGACTTCCAACATTCTTCATTGTATTTTCTCTTCGACAACCCTCACTGAGGAAAAAACAAGCACAAGAAATGACAGCAGTAAAAAAGGAAAAAAGAAAAGACTTAAACTAAGATGAAATGAACTGGTTATTTTCATAGCATTAAAAAAAAAGGTTGATTAATTTAAATGGGTGTTGGACTCATTTACAACAATACACATGTAAGATGGCAGGTTTTTGAACAGGCAATTAAGAAGCACAGAGATGAACACATGCTGTATGGGACTGCGAGTCTTGCGTTTCCACAAGCAGCACTGTATCTAAGTGGAAGTGAACTTATATTTAAAGTAATGGGTTTGTGTATTTCATGTCTAGTATTTGAGGGTTCTATCAGACCTAGTGGTTCAAAGGTTCTGTTACAGGGGGCCTCCCCAGTGGCGAAGCAGTTGAGCGCTGGGTTGCAAAGCTGCCCGCAGCCTCTGCAGCGCCGGTTCGATCCCCGGCTGCTCCCCGGCCACCAGAGGAGGGTCCCGCATGGCGCGCAGACCTCTCCTGCCGCCCGCTGCTCCCCTCAGCAGTATACTTCGGTCCTTCTGCCTGCTCTGCTCCCCGCTCTGGCTCTGGTGAATTCTCTCGCCCTCCCGCGCTTCTGACTGTGCCCAGTGCTTATATTAATAAATAAAAATAAATCTTTTAAAAAAAAAAAAAGGTTCTGTTACAGGGCAAATTAAATGGAAAAAGAACGAGTGCTACTCTTACCAAAGCCTTTAGAGAATTGCATTTTCTATATTAGCAATAGTCATTAATTATCTCAAATTCAAAATGCTGTTTTCCCTGCAGAATTCAATATGTAGGAAAGCCATCTAGCTGAGAAGGCTGCTCTAACATGCTGTCTCCACCTAGGAGATAGCTGCCTTGGGTGCAAAGCAACTCAGCAGGCCTGTGCAAATGTTGCTTGATAGGCCTGCAAAGCTGCAGGACTGGAACATAGTGAAAGAGTGATTGCCCCACCAAGGTCTCCAGGTGGCAGCCAACCACCTTCTCCAGGTACACTGCCCTCATCATGGTCACCTCTCACAGGAGTGCCAATGAGCCAATGAGAGCGCACAGATGCATTTCCCTAGAGAACCTGCTGCCAGCATCATCCCCTGTGGCATTTGATGGAAGGTTGTCATGGCAACACAGCGGGCAAAGCAAATGCTGAACAGGATGAGCCATCAGGCAGGTCTCACATTCCCAGATGAGAGCATCAAGGGAGTTCTCTGGGAAATGATCTGGCATAGACACAGAATTCACAGGCATTCTAAATATAAATGAGTTCCTATCACATGGTATGACTTTGTATTTTTGTATTCTAAGATCAGCAATTAAACCTAGTTATCAAATTTAGTATAAAATCCCCCTTATGAGATGTAAAATCTGCAGTTACCAAGAAACTATGATTTTAAAAAAAAATATTTCAAATTGTATGAAGACCATTATGTCATGCACTTTAAAAAAATATCAGTGGCAACTGCTCAAGCCTTTAAAAGTGAAAATGACAGTCTCATTAACAATAACATGTAAAACATTTTTGGTAAGACAGTAATGTTATTCAAAAGATAAGCTCACGTAGTTTAAAAAAGTATCCACCTGCTTATTATTAACTGATTTAGAAACTCAAATAGGCTTTCCTGTCACCAGCCTCAAGCCCTCAGCCAGATGTGTTATCTGAGCTGAATGCCTAGGCTGAATGAGTAAGGAACCCCTGAAGCAAATAACGATTATGTTTGACTAACACTCAATAATAAGAGAAAAATATAATTCTATTTAAAGCAGAAGCTATAAGTATCTATACACAGTTAGTCTCATTTAACCTTTGGAAGCTCTTATATTACTGAACTATTTCAGATATGGCTTCTCCATTTATTTAGGAATATACATACTTCTCAAAAACCACCTATCACTACTAAATGCCAAAGTGCTTTGAAGAGCAAATAATAATTTGTGAACTTTGACATTACATTTTATTGACATGTCAAAGAAACTACTGGTTAGCTGGTTGAAAAAATACATGAGATCGGCAAGATTACACTTTCAATTTAATTTTAAAATCCAAATGTATTTACTTTTCCTCAAATGTCTAAATTTGGTTTGAAGTTATACAATCTGACTGTGCTGACACCATTGTGGGTTTGCATGGTCTGAATGTTAAGACAAGGTCTGGCACCTAATTCCTGGGACTAAGGTGTGGCGAGGAGAGGGCATGCTGTGGGAACTGGCATCTGCTGTGGCAGAGGTGAGACTTCGGTCCTAAGTCAGAACACTTGCATCGATCACACTGTCTGCATAATTCTTTGGAGGCAATAACACACACAAATTTATCCAAGACTGTTGGATAGATTTTAGAAATTATTTCAAAGCTACATATAATTATTTTTTATTATATTGGTAAATCATTTTTTCAAGGACATCTATTTTTTAATTGAAACTCAAAATGGCTAATTCCAGGGACACCTCTGGGTTTGCTTTCCTGGGGGATCTTCCATTTTGGAACTTGTCTGGATGCATCAGCGTCCTAGTGATGCTATCTAGAGTTGGCTGCCACTGAAAATGTGCACTAACATTAGGCTCAGAAGCGACCAGAGCACCACTAAATAGCAGTGACTCTCATATCCCCAGCCTCGTTGCATCTGAACCTATTTCACACTAAAGCAAAAAAGATTCTGGACATACAGTTAGTCTGATTTAATAAGTAAAAGGCATTAGTGACAAGGCCTTTTACTCATGAAATCAGCATGAAGGGCAAGCATATTGAGTTTCTTTTCTCAGATATTCTAAAGGAAAACAACAGCCTGGGCTGATTGATCTCATGGTGTCCTTCCTGATGGCTAGTCCCCATGACTTCAGAGTCAGTCTATACTGTCTTTTAACCCAACCCTGAAGAGAAAAGCAAAGAAACTTGTCCTCTTCTATTTCATTTTTCTCTCAACTTGGCACACAGGGGTATAAGGCCTGGCTGGCACCACTGTCAGTCAAGGGGCAGGTTTTGATGTCCATATAGCCCCCTGTGGTTGACTTCTCTAGCTAGCGATGGCCTCCATTTGCTATGCAGTGGGCGCTGGAAGGAGGAGTTGCTGGAGATGAGGGGTACTGTCTGTAGTGAGAAGGGCCTCAAGCCTCTGTGCATGGCCACTGCCCAGCCTCAGCAGGATCCCCTCAAGGGGTAAGTAAGTATCTCCCCCCAGACCCCCACCATCCAGGGCTATCAGGAGTGCTTCACCAGAGCAGGGGCTGGGAAGCTATGGAATAGGAACTGAATGGGCTGTGGATCTGCCTTCCTCCTTTCAAGTAAATTTAAATAAAATGGTCTTAGAGAACTGGTCGTGCACCTCAATTTGAAGCAAGGTAAAAGGTGAATATCCCTTTCAAAGAATCACAGACTAGACAGGACCCTGCCAAGAAACATACTGCTATAACAACACTAGTAATCACTTGGGATTTGGTGAGAGACTCTCTATTGAAGGATGCCAGGAGTTGTGCCAAAGAACAGCCACCTCATTTACTCTAGTAAAGAGAAAGTGACCATACTGCCCTTGTGAGAAGAATGGATTCATCTACAGGTGTGACACCTGTCCTAGGGCCCCTGCAGTGTTCAGGAGATCTAAGAGAGAAGAGTGTTTCAGAGGTTTTAGAATTAAAAGTTTGAATCTGGAATTTGTTGTTCATTTTTAACTTCTTCAACAATTCCCAGAACCTGAACTTGGATCTTATGCCAAACTAGAGATATCCCAGAGTAAATTCTGTTAATGTTGGAGAGAAATTAGAGAGGCCACATTTTCTGGTGAACTAACTTTATGTATATGCATGGATATAAAGTTTCCAGAAAGCATCTCTAAATTTACTCCAGTTTTTATAGATTGTTAAAAAAAAAAAATCACTTTCATAAAATACAGTTTCTGGGAACTAATTGAAAATCAAAACCAGAAGTATAACATTAATTTAAATTGAAAAACAGAGAAGCCACTGACTACTTCATATACAGGGTATGTGGAATTTTCCCCTAGTATATTCTTTTACACTTCAGTATACAATTATATTTCTGCCACATATGAATGTTAAGGTTACAAATCATCCTTTTTATGGATACTGCCATGTTACGAGTGATAATAGCAGAAACCAAAGCAACCGACACCATCTGGTACAACTATCCAAAAGTTAGGCCTTTTAGGAATTTTTTTTTTTTTCGATTTTTTCCATTATTAATCACATTGGATTTGTAAGAGAGAAAGTCTATCTGTGCTTTAATCTGGAATCAAAGATGTAATTTTTAAATGAAAAATTCTATTTTAAGAAAAATCAATGTATATAACTTTAACAGCCTTTTGTTATTATATGTATTAATTCCCAGAATCAGCTTAATGATTTTTAAAGAGTTAAAAGAATAAATGTAAAGTTGCATGCAATATGTTATTTTCATGTGCTTGACTTGGTAATAATGCGCCATTGTATTCACAGCTTTAAATCATCCCAAATTGGAAATAATAAACATAAGCAAGGAAATGTTATGATTCTGCAAACTGTCTGCTACTGTGATATGGGACTACGCTTTGAAATGAAAGCAGAAGGTACAGGTCCTATTAAATCGGTTGATCTAGATAAGCCAGTTAGAAAGCATCTATCCTTTTCATTTCTCTTCAAAAGGAAAGGAAATGGTTAGCCACACATTTAAAGAATAGTATCAAATATACAAATTCTTTTCAGACAGAATTCCTTTCTCTTGGAAACAGGGCACATGAGATATACAGGAAATAAATAGTTTTACATCAGAAGGTAAGAGATTTGGTACAAGTAATTCCAGGCCAGCTAAACAATGCAGTAACAGGCACTGTAAGAACATGTTACAAGCACTGAAAATTCTACAGAATTTAAATAAGCAAGTCCTCTTGGTGAAATAATTTGGCAGGTATTTACAGTTCAGAACAACAAAACGTCAGACTGTAAGGCATGAGATATTTCTTGGCAGACCACGCTTTGACACATTCCTTCTGTCCAGTTAGGTACACGGTGGCTGGACATATTCTGGCACTTTTGTTTTTCTTGTGACTTAATTAATTTTTCATAATATATTCATTTACAACGCAATTTGGTCACCAGGTATGCTATGCTCAGGAAAAGCCACACAATCAGTAAATTGGGGCTTAGAGCTAATAAAGGTATGGAACAGAGGAGGCTGGGGTCTAGTCTTAAGTCTCGGATGGGCACCAGGCCGCTCAAGTTCTTCTGGGTGACTACCTCCCGTGTTCCAATGCTGTGAAAAGGAAAAAGTTTGGGAGAAAGGAAAAGAAAAAAAGGAGAGTAAATAAAGAAAAAAAGACACGTGCAATGGATTTCATCAAAATTATGGAAAAAGGAGAAAAAAAAGGTAAGATTTTTTAAAAATGGAATGAAGCCACAATAGAAAGAAAAGGTGATATGCAGAAAAAGGTTTGAAAGGAATACCAAAACAAAACCAGCACAGTTACAAGAAAAAAAGAAGAGAAAGATAAGTGAAAATAAGGAAAAATACTGTTGTCTACTGAAAACAAACACATGTGTAGGTTGACTAAATGGTTTTCCATGTTCACTCTCTCGGCTGGCCAAGCACAACTCCAAGCTGCCCTGCCATGCTCTCACATGCTGCGAAGACATGGATTTCAGAAAAGCAAGCTGAACATGAAGAACCATTGGGGAATTTGACCTTCTCACAGATGCCTGAGCAGGGGGTAGTACAATTGGTTTTACCAAAGCTGCCTCGATCACCCATTCAAATGACAACCATTTACCTCTAGTATCAACCAAAGACAGAGCCCTCACCAGACTCGCCTTGGCTTTCAGGCTAAGCAGTGGCCAGGCATGAGCTAGTTGTTTATTTCCAACTGTTCAAGTTATTATTCTACAAAGATGATACCCAAGAATGGAATCCAACAGAGCTCATGCTGGAAGTTTGGGGGTGGGGAGATCTTCCCCCTTTTGGTGCTTCAGAAGAAAATACACTGAGGAGAGATTTCAGTTAGAACCACACTACTCTGGAACCACGTCCTCTGTGCATGTCTTCCAAAGTGACAACAGTGACACAGACTTGGAGGCGCCAGGACACAGCAGGTGGCTTGTGGAGATCCACTTGGAGATTGGCAGGCAGGAAGTCCAGGTACCTTCCTTCAGCTCAGTTCTCAATGGTTTTCCCAGAGGAACCCAAAAGTACTTGAACAGTCCTGCTGGGATGTGCTATTCTGATGCTTTGTACTAATGAGCTAGCATATTCCCACCAGGACAGTTTGGTGGGTCACTGTGGCTACTTAATAAAGTCCCAATTTTGTGAATGTTCAGACCCAGGATTGAGAACAGAGGGACACAAGGTGAGCTGGAATTGATTCAGATGGCACGCAACAACCAGGTGTACACATTTCTTCCCAACTCCATACTCCACTGGTGTCACACTGGTAGCTTAAAATGGGTCCTTGTGACAGTATTTATGTGACAGAAATTGGCAAACATAAGGGCTTCTTTTTTTTGTTGTTGTTGTTTTTGAGACAGAGAGAGCTGGTTGTTAGACATTTGCTAGCACAGCCAGCACTAGCCACTGCTCACCCTGGGCCTCCAGGAGAAAGATTTGGCCCCATCCCACCTCTTCCCCAACCCATACTCCCATCTACATGCTCTACTCTTTCATCTGAGAGGATGCAAGCAAGAAAGCAAGGGAACCAAAATGCATTTTCCACTCAAGGCAAAGGCATGTCCAATATTACTGTAGCCTCCTTTGGGCTCTTACTGAGCCACAGGTACTGGCCACCACTGCAGTCAGAAATATTGACTAGTGACCCAGCCACTTCCGACTTGCAGTCTATAAACAAATACATGTCTTCCTCACATGGGATAAAAAGTCAGGTGTGAGAGCGTCACCTTGAAACAAACGCACATGGCAATAGCCTGAGGTGGCTGCGAGGGCAGGAGGCCAAGGCAGCAATGAGAATAGTGCCCCGGCTGGAGCAATGAGGAGTCTGGTGGCTGGCCCAGGCAAAATGTAATCCAGTTTTGTTTTTATTTTTAATAGCCTTCTAAATGATTATTAAGGTAATACATGTTCACTGCATAGGGTTATTTTAATTAAGAAAAATATAACTTAGAAACTTGAAATACTCCCATAAGTAGAGATGGGCAGGGGTTGTAGAGAGACAGGGAGGCTGAGGGAACAGTGTCTGTTCCCATGGGAGGAAGGTCCTTCTCTATTCAGGGTCTGGAGCCTACCCCTAAGGTAGGAAAACAACAGCAACTTTACAGACTCAAAAGTGCTCAGAATAGAGACAAGGACAACAGCACCAGAGGGTGTGTGAGTAGGCATTTGCAATACTGTGGGTGGAAGTGTGACTGATGTGGGAGCAATTTGTTAATTAGTATTAAAAAGCCTCACAAAGGTATATACTTTTTAATCTAAAGAATCAGTGGGGCAAATGTGGAAAGCAGAATACATAAAGATAGTCACTGCACACTTGTTTAAAATGCTAAAACATGTATACAATCAGTGACAGCAAATTGGATAAATTAAGGTCTACTAAAAATGATAAGGTTTATATTTACTAACCTGAAAAAATGCTTACAAGAAACTTAAATGTGTGGGGGGCGGGAAGGCTAAAGCAGAAGGCAGACTAGCACATACAAATGGATTTGTGCATGTGTGCATGTTTGTGTTGATTATTATTCAGGCTTGGTTAACCAGTGCATGGATTAACCATGCACACGTCCATATGTATACAGGTATGTGTCTTTCAAAGACACATTTCTATCTGTGAAAGAGTATGCATTAATATCTTCACTTGATTTTAGCCAAAAGGCCGAGAAGCGATTGCATTAATATCTTAACACTGCACTGTTAATAGTAGGAACACCAAGGATTTTTAGTGGGGTGTATGTTTATATGTGTGTGCACATGCTTATCTGCATTTTCTTACTTTCCTACAAGAAATATTAATTATGTGATATAGATCATACAAAGGGCCTTGTGTGTTATAAACCATAATAGTTATCCTTGCATGTATAGGTGCTGTGTATACAACCCCACTATGGGCTAGGGGTCCACAGAGAGGGATTACTGAGAGTTGGCAGTTCAAAAAGTTCACATGCCCACTTAGAGATAAGCTGATGTTCCCAAAAGGAAGGCCAAGGAGACCAGAAGTACAGCTTTTGCCCAAAAGAGCAGTTTGCAGTGCCAGGCTCCAGTCTCCAGGGGACATCAGCCAGTTCTGAGGTTCTGCCTGGTCTCCCCACAGTCTAAATTTGGGGATAGACTGTGTGTCTATAAGGAGTCACGTTCTCCCTGGTCTCTGGATTTCTGTGCTCAGATGCCATCAGAATAAATACTTTTCATTGAATTGGTTCAAGTGGCTGAGAATGGATAGAGGCATGCCTATCATTGCATGCCTCTGGTCACCAAACAGAGCTGAATCTAACATTTGCTCTGAAAACCATGGGGATCCCTTCCCCATCTTCTTGTTTCTTCTTGGTGAAGGTCTGCATCTCACAGAGCAGCCCCTCCTCCCAACTCACAGTTAACAGAGCACAGATGTCCTTGCAAGCCTAGGCTCTGCCACCCATGGCACCAGCAACACTGAGCCTGAAGGGCACCAAGACTCCAGGAACACATGCCCTCAGTCAAGGGTGCCCTGGGGCACAGGTCTCTGAGTCTCCATTGCATCCCTGAGGCTTAGGGCCTACACGCCTACCAAAAATGCATAAATAGGAGGCCCTGAGGTAACAAAGAGGTTTAGATGAACTTGCAAAGACAAAACAGGGACAAAACAATTCCATTTTTACACAACATTGTTATCAAGAGGCAGGAGCTCAGGCATCGCTTTTGTACGTTTTTGTATGAGAAGGTCAAATGGTAGAAACATACAGAAAGGATAAGAGAATTGAACGATTTAAAGTATCTGGTGAGAGGACAAATGATACAGAACATTCAGTAGAAGTGACTGTTGGAAACGAGACTTTAACAGCATTGGTGACTACATTGAAGGAGACGGGAAAACCAGGTTTCTTATCCTTTCTTTTGGTATGTGAGGTAAGGTGCTCCCCAGCAGTGCTTGAAACAAGGCATCGCTCAACAGGAGACAGAGTTTTAGTCCAGGGTTTCATTCTGCAAACACGCCTGCTGCCTCAGAATCAGAACATCATTAGGGTGAGGTGGCCATGGCACATGGACAGGTGGGCGGGGCTGGCTGCTGCCCTTACCGAGAACACTCACTGGACACTTTGCTCAGAAAAGCAAACTGTGTCGACTGCTAGAGAAGAAGCAGAGCAAACCGATGCAACCTGCAGATACTTTTCTTCACTTAAGTTTGAAAAGAAATCTAAATATGATGTAAGTAGCAGATGCCTGCTGAAAAAGCACTGGCCTAGAGTCACACCCATGGCAAGGTGGGTGGATGAGGGAAGGCCACGTGCTATGTGACTTCACATGGCTGCATCCAAGTTCCCATGTAATTTTCTGACACCTAAGTCCACTACTGAGTCTGCCCGTTTTCAGTGCAGTCCTGCTCAGAGACTGCTAGCACTTTCTCCCCCTTGACTTAAAAGTGAACTGGACTCACTTTGAGAGTGCCAATAGTTTGACTTTGCAGACATGAATAAATTTTCCAAAGTCAAACTAGAACGTGACAGCTGCAGTCAAGGGCACCTGTGCCTCAGGGGGTGGGGAGAGGGCCAGGGAAGGCAGCAGCAGGACCGGCTCATCTGCAGTTTACATGGAGCCCAGGGAGGTGGGGAGGGCGGCGGGCAGTGGGACTTACCTGCGCATGCACTCCAGGGCCTGGGTGAACACCTGCGGGGCCATGCCATGCTCGTGCTGCAGGATCAGGCACTGCTCCAGCGTCACAGACATGGCTGTGCGGTCCTTGGCGCTCTTGCAGCTGGTGAACCGAACCCCATTAAGCCGGCGGCAGATCTGCCAACAGGAAAACAGGCTGTTCTTAGATGGGAGACCTGCAGAATGGGGACACCCTTCACAAGAACAGAGGCTCAGGATGGCCTGGCAAAGGCATGTGGCAAGAGGGTTCCCAGGCCTGGCCATTCCCTCTGCTTCTGCCCTCCAACCCATATCTCATCAGAACTGGTAATGGAAACCAAGTCACTTAAAAATATGAGCTTCCTTGTGCTGCCTGTAGGACTGCCTCTTATCCTTGGTCACCCTTTATGTACCTTCTTGCACAGGACACACCCCAGACCAGGCTCCCTTCCTCTCTGAAGCACTGTTTGCTGACCTTACCAGCTGCCCTTTTCTAAAATATGCCAGGCCATCTTTTCATGTTCAGTCAGCCTTCTGATGCTGACTTCTCAGGAGAAGAGGACCATAAAGACCAACTCAGGGAGAGCAGAGCAGCTCAAAGGATGTCCAGCCCTGGTCAGGCCTTTCTGGAAAGCACAGCACAGACTCAGGGTCTTTTCTCTCCCACATTTGCACATATTGGAACAAAAGACCCACCTCCCTTTAGCGACCTCCTGACACCAGGCTCCCCTTGCCATCCTCGACCTTATCTGGGGTCGGGCACAGGATTAGGCACCAATGCCTCTTCCCCTCACAAGAGGGACTCACAAGGGGTTGGGGAAAAGGGGAGACTCTCAACTGGTAAAAGCCCACCTCAGACCAAAGGGCATATGGGGGCATTTCCTCTACACCACTAGGTATAATCCTAAGTACACAGCCCCCACATCCAGGGGGCAAAAGTTTTATGTGTGTGAGTTTGTGGCAACCTCATTTGGCAGCACAACCAGTTCTGGGTTGATGTAAAACTATTGATAGTTTTTATCCAGTTTCGTATACATATTCACATTTCATAAAAGCAATATTAATGGGTCTGGTTCCACAGTACTGCCCCAAAGATGTTAAATCATATGTGTGTACCATGCTACAAAGGGGTGATATGTACCAAATGTCACCTTTCTAAAATCTGGAAAGCCATGAATTCCAAGATATCTAGACACAGGGCTTCAGAGAAGGGCCTATGGGCCTGTACCAGACACTGCACCATGAGAACAGCACTGGGATTTAGTGAAAAATCTAAATGATCGTGGGCTCCAGAAAAATACCAGCATCACTGCAGACTGTCCCAAAGACAGCACTGGACCTGCTTCTCAGGCCAGCAAAGCCAGGGGCATGTGGCCACCACCAGAATGGCAGCAGGTAGGGAGCATGATGCAGTCCTAAGCATGACAGAAATGGCCCAGACAAGTTCAGCCAGCACTACGAGGAAAAAACACAGTCTTTTGAGAACAGACAAGACAATTTCTTCAAAAGAGAAAAAAAAAAAAAAAAAAGACCCTACATAGTCCCTAGCCTAAGAGTGATTTAATCCAAATTTGTAAAACTGTTAACTAAGTGACTATGTAAGCAGACTCACTAGGCTGGAGAGTTCATGACCAAACATGTGGCAAAAGCTACAAAATTTACATGCCTGGATGGGGCACCTACAGGTAAGCTGAGCTTACAGAAGGAAGGCCAGGTAGGTCAGAGGTGCAGGTTGGCCCAAAAGGGCAGTTTACAGTGTTGGGCTCTAGTCTTCACAGGGCATCAGCCAGCTCTGGGGCTCTTAATGGTCCCCCACCATGAAATGAGGTGGTGGACTTGACTAATATTTCAACTATTTAGTCAGGGATTATATACCAAAATGAAAGTAAGACTCAGAAAAGGAGCTTTGGTCAAATTGGGGATGGGAGGGCTAGGCACCTGAGTGGCTTGGCACTGCCATTTCCACATCCATCTATTTCCCAGGGGATCCCCAGATGGATAATATGAGAATTGACATATCCAAGGTTTCTCAGACCTTTCCACCTCTGAAGCTATGCTTCTATCCCCTGGGGCCTCTGTTGGGAACAAAATATACAGGGCTGGAGAGACTGCTTTTTTGATCTGGTTACAGGGTATGGCTGATCATTTCTATAGCTGACGGTTTTCTTTTTATCACAGAGAGAGAGAAAAGCAGATCCCCAATTCCTAAATAAGATATGCACAGGTCTCTGCAGCCACTCTTGTCTGGAAAGCCTTCTGCATGTTTATTCTAAGGAGAATAAATTGGTGAGTGCCTTTCCTTGCCACTGTGGAGGGATCTGGCCATTGTCATCCTCAGTCTCGGTGTCACATGGGAAAGGCTAGCACTTTATTTAAAATCTTGCAAAGGTACCAGTCAGCCAAGGAGTGTTTATATTCCTCTCAAAAAATATACTAAAAGAAGGTAGGTGAACCTCTACCTGCAGAGCATATGGGCCTGAAGGGCCCAGCTACAGAGCCCCCCAGCAGTCATGAACACCTTATTTTCTGGGTTTGACCTGCAATGGCAGATGAGACCCGGAAGCAGAATACTTAAAAAAAAAAAAAAATGAGATCTGTGAGCCCTACTAAGCTTCTGGTCACTTGTGCCTCAAAAAGTATTGTTAAAAATAAAATATTTAAGGACAGCCTGGCCCAGAAAGGGTGGCAGTGCAGTGTGACTACTTCCCATGGCCCCAAGACAGAGCGCATGTCCACTCACCCCCTCCATTCAGGTCAGGCAGGGATACTGGATGCTTTAAGGCCCATCTGCACTATGTGTGTGCATCTCATAGCCCCAGTGCTGCCATGGAGATGAATTAAACTCACCCCCTTTGTAGGAGTGAGTGAATGACTAGCTAGGAAAGTGCTCTGATACAGAGGTTCAGAGTAAATTTATGAGAAAATACTTGATATATAAATAAAGCACTTAGGAAAATGAGGCAATCCAAACTATAGTGCATGATAAATATTGTTGAAAGACGATGTAAAGCATGCCATAATTTCTCTTTAATCTATTATAAGATGTAGCAGGAGTGAGTTTAGCTGGTATCGATTGGGCAGGCTGCTGAAGACAACACCCGTCATCAGTCTGGCTATTAAATGCCCCAGGGGTTAGGCTCTGTATCAAGCTTATCAGAATTCAGGCAGCTCTCAAGTAACAAACTCATAGCAGCTTCCAGAGTTTAAAACATTCAGTGATTGTTTTTCTGTGTCCATATGGAGGGATTTGCTTTCTCTCTCCTGGCTGACTTTGATTTGCTATTATTATTGGTAAACAGGCACAACAAGAATGTTCTTTTCCCCACTATAACCAGTACCTCAGCAGCCTGCCAGAGAATATCCACATTCTTATTCTTCCTGGCATGTACGTTCTGACCCAGAAATCGCAGCAGTTCAGGCAGACATGTCTGGCTTCGAGAGCGAGGTAGACCTGGAAGAGAGGAGTCGTCTGTGGAGCAGCACCAAGAACTCGGCACCAAGGCAGGGAGACAGCAAAACGACAAGAGCTGGGAGGTCAAGTGTGATCTAAACAAGAGTGGATGTGTATGGAACTTGGACCTGGCAACCAGTATGGTGAGCACTTAATTCCCTCCACAGCCATTTCAGATCCACCAGCAAATGGCAATCACTTCAATTCCTTTCAGCTCCTTCAAGCAGCTGGAGTATGGACACTGAATCACCAAGGAGGGAAGGAAACAGAAATGGAAAGAAGGCTCCTGTCTATGTGGAGTTCAGTCTGTGTTGACATTGTGGGAGCCCAGATGAGGTGAGCTTGAGATGGGTCAGGAAAATTCAGCCTCCTGGAAAAGATAACACCATCTTAAACCCAAGATCAGCTGTAGCCTCTCCCTGGTCTTTGCCATCATTTTTAGTGAATACCTGCCCACTGATGAATGAAGCATTAAGGGGCATTCACAGGTGGGCTGCATCTTAGCCTAACAGACTACTGATTCCTGTTGTGGCCACAGCTCTCCTAGCTTCATGGGCCATGGCTGCAGCTACTGGCTCCACCCTGGAGCCCACAACTTTTTACTTTTACTCCGGTAGGTCTGCCCCCTTAACTCTCATCACCAGGCTACTGCATCAAGACCATTACTCCACCCCATCCTGTGCTCACCTCACTCAGTTGAGCTTTCATAGGGAGACTAAGGTCATCTGGCCTGCACTCCCTCTATGTCCTCCTCCCATACCAGCATTCCTCATGTCCTTTCTTCTTTGCTGGCATCTCTTGCACCTGGACCCTCCAGGACCCTGATCTGTAGTCCTGACAACATCCTGCTGCATTTTGCAGCCCGTTTTCTACCTCTTTCCTTCAGGCCTTTAACCACTCATATCTATCCCAGTGCTTCAGGTAATTTCCAACCTTCTCACAGACCTATCCCTTGACCATTGCCAATCTCTGAGACAGAGTGGATGTTTCAAAGGCAGCACCATTTCACCTCCTAGTCACCCTTACTGCATCCCTCACACATTGAGATTAGCCTCTTAGAAACCAAGAGGAATCTTCATCCACACCCAGCCCTGGCTTCCAGGAAACACTGCTGCCCTGCTTCTGCTTCCCCAACTATACTCTCTGGCCCTTTTTCCCCAACCATCCTCCACATGTAGCCTTCTAGAGTTCTGTCCTCAGCCTCTCCTTGCCTTGCACAGTGACCTCAGTCATGAAAGGGCTCCATGCTACTTTGCAGCTGACCACAGTGGCCTCACTCTGTGGCTCCACAGCTGCACTTCTCATGGACCATTTCCTCACATCACAGATGCAGTGAGGGTTGTGGTGTACTCTTCATCCTCCCAGCCCTTCCTCTGCTGTCAATGTGGGCCACAGTACCACTACTGTCAGCTTAAGAACTCCTCATCTGGAGTGAGTCTTTTCTACCAGGAATATCTCTGGCTCCCCAGCATCAGTTGCAAGTGGCCCTGAGAGCTGATTCTCACTTCAAATCCTCTTTATGCCTCTCGCCTTCTCTTCAGTTACTGACACCAGCAGGTCAAAGTGGAGGACAAAGCAATCTTATGGGGGTTTTCAAAGTCACTGCTTCAGTCCACCAATGACTCACACCCAGCCTCCAATCCAATAAAGCTCACTCCTCTTGATTCTACACCAGTCCTTGAAAACAGCTCTTTTACTAAATTAACATCAGCTACTCCATCTGGTCCCAAAGGCTCTCTGCAAGTCTCTCCTCACAAGCTGTCTTAGTGCATGGGCTTAGAATTGAGCCAACCCTTTTCCTCATCTGCACAACAAGGGCTAACACATACCCTGCAGCACTGTTATTTGGACTCAGTGGTGATTTGTGTGTATAACACAGCACAGCCTGGGGAATATCAATGACCAGTTTCCTTCTTTGGGAACCTGGGAACCCCAAAGAGAGAGTGCTAGTGTGATGCAGAGCAGGACGTTTCCTCCTCCACTGTGTGCGCCACTACTGGCTGGAGCAGGGTCAGCAGAGAGGCATAACTTTAACCAGTCTTCCTGCCCAGGCAGGGTCTTCACATCACTTATCTTACCAGGTGCTCTGGTGTTTATACATGGCAGGTGCTCAGTAAACACGTACCAGCCTGAACTCAGGAGAGAATTCTCCATGTAAGATAGTATGGTAACTTTCTCCATTCCTGCCTAAGTTCTGTGCCAGTAGCACCTCATGGGGTGGCACAGAAAGGACTGTGCCTGTCCGCAGAGGGACTGCTGTCATCTTTCCACCACCTCCAGGGGTGCCCAGACAGGGACTCTCTGCCTCACATCTTACTCTCCACATGCCGTGGATAAAGGTACATGAAGCGCTCACATCAGTGGGGAGAGTAGGGAGCAAGCTGATCACTGGCCAAGTTGGGGGTTAAGGAGTGGTGCTGCCTCTGTGATCCTGTCCCATCAGCAGGAGCACGCCACTGGATGGATCCACATCACTCAAGTGAGAAGAGAACTGACCAGGAGAGAGATGAGTGAGGGCGCAGCCTGGGGGAAGCTTCTCCCAGTGGGGATTCAGGGCAGGTAGGGTCTCAGCAGATGAGTAGGCTGCTGTGGGGCTGGGGAGCAAGGAAGGAAGAGCACGCTGTCGGAGGCAGCATCCAGCAGGTGGTTAAGCACACAGACCAAGTGGCACGAGGGCTTTCAACACTCAAAGTGACAGCAGGTGAAACTCACCACGAGTGAAGAAATACTTACAATCCTCAGGCAAAACTTCCTTAAACTGCTCAAAGTAGGAATTTAACCGCACCAAACTCTCCACATTGATAACTTCTTGTAATGATGTGTCACCAAACCTGCAGTGGTTATAAGGAGACACCACTAGTTGGCTGATGTGCCACCTCCCAGCATGCACAGGGCTACGCTGAAATCAACAGTGCTGTTTCTTGCAGATGTATACTGTGCACATCAAAATTCTTTCTTTCCCCCATTTTTGGTTATGGTAAAGTATATTTCTTGTTTGGGTTTTTATTTTTCTTTATTTAAAAAAAATTAATGTAGGGTCTCCCTGGTGGCACAAGGGGTTAAGATACTACCTATGAAGCTGTCCTCAGCCATTGAAGCACGAGTTCCATCCCTGGCCGGCCAGGGAGCAACCCACATGGCGCAGCAGACCTCTCTTGACACGCCTGCTGCTCCCCCTCATCAGTATATTTTGTCAGTCTGCCTGTTCTGTTCCCCACTCTGTCTCTGGTGAATCCTCTCACCCCCTATACCTCTGGCCTTTACCTCAGTTCTTGTATGCATAAATAAATAAATCTTTTGAAAAATAAATAAATTTATTAATGTACTTTTTTCTCATATCACTGTTAATTTTTGAACAACACAGGATTTCTCCCCTCACTTGTGGTCGCCATAGTTCTCCCGCCACCAAAGCTCCCACAGTCCATCACCAAATACCCTGTGCTCTACCCTGTCCCTGTTTCCATCCCCCCTCACCTCGTGCACCTCCCCTCCTGGGTGCCTCACGTCTATGGTCAGCTTCCAAGGTTTGTCTTTGACCTTTTGTTTGGTTTTTCTCTATTCCACATATAAGTGAAACCATGAGATATTTATCTTTTTATTTCTGACTTACTTCACTGTACATGAACCATATCAAAATTCTAAGCTACATTCCTCTTCCTAAGCTTAAGGTCATCTCTAGTGGGTTGGTGACCAGTTTAAATGTAGTTCTTTAGCAGCCACCATGCACAATCTGTTACGTGCCTAAGTGATGATCAGAAGGCCATCTGTCCCGCATGCTCACACAGCATGGGATCCTGCTCCTCTCACAGAAGCCTGCCTCAGGTCCCATGTCCTCCAACCCTGGGGGTGTTTAAGTGAGGGGTAGTCAGTAGGGTCATGGCTGAGGAGTGGGAACACAGTCCCTACTAGCGTCTGTAGTCATTGTCTACTGACTGACTACACAGACTAGCTGTTCCTGTTGGACTGAGCATAGGCACTGGCTCTCTTGTAGCCCTCAGCACACCTCTAGGGCAGCCAGGATGTGCTTGATGAGTAAGGGAAGAGATAGGGTAATGAGACCCATGAGGAGGGTAGAAGGTGGTCATTAAAAAGTATTGGCTCTGGGGCCTCCCCGGTGGCACAGCGATTGAGCACTGGGTTGCGAAGCTGCCCGCAGCCTCTGCAGCGCTGGTTCAATCCCCGGCCACCAGGCGAGGGTCCCACATGGTGCGCAGGCCTCTCCTGGCGCCCGCTGCTCCCCTCAGCAATGCATTTCGTCACTCTGCCTGTTCTGCTCTCTGCTCTGGCTCTGGTGAATTCTCTTCACCCTCCCGCACTTCTGACTGTACCCAGTGCTTGTATAAATAAATAAATAAATCTTAAAAAAAAAAAGTATTGGCTCTGAAGTCCAAGGGCTGCATGCCCCCTCCAGCCTCATTACCTCCCTGCACATCAGTCTCTTCACAGGCTTTTCTTTATGAGCTTAGGAGAGGGTTTCCTTGGAGCAGACAAGAGCAGAGCAGGGACCCTGAACTCCCCAAGCCTTTCCTCTCACCACACTCACACCCCTCCTCCTGGCCATCTACTCCCTGTCATCTCCTTGTTTTAATCTCTTCCAGAAACTGCTCTTCGAGAGTCATCTAGCATAGCAGCTGCCAGCTGCAGGCAACATTGTTATCCTACTCAGGGACATCTCCCTGCTAGGCCCCTATGCTCCCACTCTCCCTCAAGCACTCTTCTAGCTCTGCTTACCCCTCACAGGTCTGTGCTTCCTGGGTAGCTGCTTCAGCCTAAACCCCCATCTTTCTGGGCTCAGTAGATGTCGCCAGCTCTTACTGCTGATGTAGAACCCTGGGTGTGTCTACTCTATTGTCTCTCTTATACCCTACCCAAGTGAAGACTAAATCTTCTACTTCACCACTGAAATAGTTCTCCAGTCTCCACCTTCTCCATCTGTACAACCCCTGCCTGATCCAGGTCACTTTTCAACAACCTCCTCATCACACTTGTCCTCATTACATCTTTCCAGGACATGGTCAGCAAATAATATACTTAAAATATCAATCTTATTGTATCCTTCCCTATGAAAAAAATTCTTCCATGGCCCCCAGACACACCACATTTTCTAAGTGAAGTTAATCAACACCTCAGGGTCAATGGACACGGTCACTGTGTTCAAAAGGTTCAGTAAGAATATATCATCCTGGAGACCAAATTTCCTTACCAGTGAGTACTTTAAGAAAGCTTTACATACTAAAACACATATATCACATGAATATGGAGACAAAACAAAAGACTCCCATGTGCTAGTAGAACGTCATTATAGATCACACACAAGCAAGCCCTGCTTCCTCCTCAACACACACACACACACACACACACACACACACACACACACACATTTGAGGGTACACATGTCTCCTCCCTACAAGTGACCTGGAGGAAGTGTACAAGGCACAGGCCTTTAAGATCATGTCATGGGTCTCAGCCTGACACAGAGACCTCCCAAACCTCACCATGGCCCATCCTGTCAGGGTCCCAGCCCCCAATATGTTTTCCTTGTCTGCTTTCACTGAGAAATTTCTTGGCCTGGGATCACAAGTCTCTCTCCTATATCCTCATTTGACCAACTCCTACTCACTCTTAAAAACCTACTTCAGCCACCACTCCCTCCAGGAAGCTCCTACAGATCCTCTTAGACATCTTTCAGGCCCCTACTTCCTTCATTTACCTTTATTCTTACACCACCAGTCCAAGTCTCTTGAGGATACAGATCACATTTGGTTTATTTTTGTGTCCCCAGCACCAAAGACTAGCTCAAGTACATAAGTACAATTAAAGAACTCTAGCCAAAGGAAGAGAGGGATGACAAAGTCCCTACAAGACTCAGAAGCCAAAGAGGGTTCAGAACACTTTCTATGTCTTGGTGCCAACCACTCCAGCCCCAGAGAACCAGGCACGCACCTCTCGGCCAATGTCTGCTGCTCATTGATGCCCACATTGAAGAGGACGGGCTGCACCCGCAGCAGCATGCCGCTCTGGATCTCCCGGGGCAGGGAGTCAAAGAGGGGTCCAGGCAGAGGGATCCGCACATTAAACCCATCGCTGGAGAAAAGAGAGAATTAGAGGGATTAGGTGGTGACACAGGAGAGATGAGAAAAGCATGAGAGAGTATGGGTTAGTCGTCTGGTTCAGTGCTTTCCAAATTGTTGGGCATGAACTTTTAAAAACCTTGAAATCTGCATTCTTAACAGAATAAAACAAAGATTTAGCATGCATCACATGTGCTAAACAATGAAAACACCAAGCTATTCTTGAGAATTAAAAAAATAGTTCTACCGGTTTCCAGTGATGACGGGCAGCATGTCAGTTGATGCATTAGAAGTGGCCTGAGTGACTTTAAAGGTCACATTCCTCAAGTCCATGATTCCAAGGCTCATATCCTCCAGCATGGCCAACTCCTCACCTGGATTCAGAGAAGAGGGCTGTCAGGTGGATAGCCTGTACTCCCCATGGGCTCACACAATCACAGGTAGGTGCATATGGAAGGTGAGACATATGTGTAGAAGGAAAGCTCTAACCTTCTTCACCAGGTGACTCGTTTCCCCCTGGTGTAAACATGCACCCATGCTTCCCAGACATTTCCTGATGAAGGAAAGCGGGCAAGAAACAGAAATGCATAGAACCTCAGAAGGCCAAGCTGGCTCTTCAGAAACATACAGAGAGAGTATAAAATAGTGTATTGTGGCCAGAACTTCCATTATACAGGAGTTGGTATTTATTTGATGTCTTGTAACTCCAAAGATTAAGAGATACTTTAAAAAGTTACCCATTTTTACCTTGTTAGAAAAAAAAAGAAAGTGAATACAGGAAGAGTCTTTTTAGAGGATATATGGAACTAGGTATGACCTTTTTTTTTAAAGAATTATTTATTTATACAAGAACCTGGTTACAGGCCAGACTCATGGGAGGGTGAGAGGATCCACCAGAGACAGAGCAGGGAACAGAACAGGCAGACTGATGAAACACACTGCTGAGGGGAGCAATGGGTAAGACAGGAGAGGTCTGCCGCGCCATGTGGGACCCTCACTGGCTGGTCAGGATCAAACCGGCGCTGCAGACAGCTTCACAGTGCTGTGCTCAACCACCTGTGCCACCAGGGGAGGACCTAGATATGACATTTTAAAACATCCCAATCCTGTGACCCAGCAAACTTTCCTCCTAATAATTTAGTGGCTGCAGAAATGGGCCCACAAGGGCACAAAGACTTAAGGGCAGAGATGTATGGCAGTATCGTGTTGATGATAACAATTCAGAAATGGCCCAAGTGTCCTGTAGAAGTTATTGTGTAAATACTTATCCATTTTCAGCCAGAAATATTTTCAGGATATATGTAACAAACAACATCACCACTAACCAAGATGAGAGGAGGATTTTCTCTCCTATAGAGGATTTTCATGTCACTCTATGTTACCCATTTTGGTGATATTTGCATTTATTTAACTGGCATATATTACTTTCATAATCAGAGAAATATTCAGGAAGAAAGGATAAAAGTCATATACATCAGCACTGTTCACGAACTACAGGCCCAAGGGGCATGGATTGTGGGGTCCTGGGGTCTCACCATAGGTGCTCAGCAGGCTCTCGAACTGGGCGAGCAGCCCGATGGTGTAGAGTTGCCGTAGGAAGCCGTCATCATGCAGGCAGTTCCTCAGCTTGATGATGAAGCCACAGATGAGTGCTGTCAGCTGTGTGGGAGACATGTGCTAAGCAGACATCTCCCCACTAGAGAGCAGTCAGTTCGTGCTGCACCCTGGTCCCTGAGTTCCCCTGCCTCCCCAGCCTTACCAGGTTCTAGCAGCACCCCAGTCCTTTGAGGGCCTGGAAAGTGGGAGCACTCTCCAAGAGAAGAGGGGCAGTACTCCAGGCAGCTGCTCCTGTTGCTCCCAAAGGTAAGTTTGGTTTTGGCCCAGCTTCTGACCCAACCTACCTGAGGTTATTACTAAGTGAGAACCTTCCAGAAACCTGAATTAATTCCCCACAGTGAAAGGGTCTATATAATCACAGATCCAACCAGTTCTGGCTGGAAATTGAGTTGACCACACAAAGAACAGGAGTAAGAGGAAAAAGGCTGTCAGGAAGCTCTGTAAGTTTCCTCAGAGGGAGACTTCCTGTGGGATGATGATGCCTCACCAGGACAGGTGGGGAAAACTGCAGAAAACCAAGCCAACCCTTTACCTCTTTGCTAATTTCATTGTTGGCCTCTAATAAACTGATGACATTCATTTAAATTCCGCCCTTCTCTGAAGGATAACAGAAATCATTAAGATAAATTGTGCACAGGCTGTAAAACTAAAGCACCTGCTGTTTTACAAACTGGAACACAGACTGCATTGACAGCAAGCATCCATGTCTCTCACTCCTCTGTAGAGGGAAAAAAATGATGGCAAAGAGGCCTGTGCTACCCACAATCCCACTCCCCTCCTCCGAGTATGGGCAGCTGATGTGCACATTCTATCAGTCCCAGCTCTTCAGAGGGAGTGAGTGTGCAATCAGGTCCTCCGAAATACATACTGATGGAGTGGGGCTCCCCCCTCCATGCTGACATCTAGACCTCTCCATTAAGGAGACAGGAGAAAACACTGCAATCTGAGGGAGTTTCCTAAGCTGTGCTTGCTGAGTTAGAAGGTGCCTGTGGCCTCCCATGTGGCACTCCCAAGGGCTTACCGTTTGGCAGAAGACCACATCGCGGCGGTACTGCAGGCTCAGGTATGTGGCTATGGTGGGAGCGCTGTCCTGCATAAGCAGGAAGACCATTGCCTTCTTGGCCTTGTCACTCATCATGGCCACACAGTCTGTGAGGGTGGTCAGGAGGGGGTAAAGGGCCTCGCTCCATTCACCTAGGCAAGAGGGAAGGAGTTGTTTTAGAAGGAAGATTTTAAAAATGAGGCAGTGGAGGCTTAACAAGTTACCTGTCACCTAACCTCCACAGGGGTTCCCCACTCCCACTCTCTGCCCCTTCTGCAGCTTCTAATTCTGCTTGGCTATACTATGCCCAGAACTAGCACCAAGTTATGCCTGGAAGTAACCCAGTTTCTAACCCTCTAGTCTAGAGCTTTTCCAGTAAATTCAAACATCAGCATGACTCCATAATGGCTGACACATGCCTGGTCTCCCAAAATCAGTGGGGATCCTATATATAAATACTTAAGACAATTCCATTTGAGGAAAACAAAGTTCTGCAAGTAATGACTACGCATGAAAAGTCTCTGTCTGTACAGCCCACTCCTCTACCTGGGGAGAGCCCTAGCCTGCTTGGGCACAGGACAACTCCACCCTTGTCTGGCCTTTTGTGTAACTGAGCAAAATTCCCACATTCTACATCTAAAGGAAAGACCATCACCATGGCTTCCCATGTTTTCAGCCCTTACAGTCCTTTCCTTCTGCACCTACCTTTCCTGCCTGGTTATCATCTATTTATAGTTTAGGAATTTTTTTAAGAATATAAGGAAACTTTGACCCTGAACCAAAACAACTTTTTAAAAATAGAACCTCAAGGGAGAAAAAACAGAGTCAAAGGTATTTTTGGCTTTGGCTTTTTTTTTTTTTTTTTCCCCTTCCTATTTAGACTACATGGTCTCATAGATTATATTTTTAACATATCGCCAAGCTCAGAAATAGGCACTTGATCTGCAGCACCAAGTTAGCCCATACCCCAATGTGGCAGAGGCAGTGGAATGACAGCAGGACAGCACACACCCTCTGGGGAGGAGGGTGCAAACCATGGGAAGTCCGCACATGTCACGGCACTCAGGGATGGCTGAAGGCCACGGGAGTGGTCTAGCTCCCAGAGGGTAAGCTCTGTCTTAAACAGAATCTAAAAAGCAGAGAGAAGGGAGACATGGCTCTGCCCTCTCAAACTGTATGGTTAGCATTTTGTTGAGAAACAAATTTAAAGAAATGCTAAGAAGCAGGAAAGGATTTGAGTATTTGGTTAATATTGATTTTTTTTTTTTTTTTATTTTTAATTTTCTAGAGGCATGTCTTATTTATTTATTTATTTATTATTTGTTTGTTTGTTTGGTTTATACATGCACTGGGTACAGTCAGAAGCGTGGGAGGGTGAGAGAATTCACCAGAGCCAGAGCGGGGAGCAAAGCAGGCAGAAGGACCGAAGTACACTGCTGAGGGGAGCAGCGGGCGGCAGGAGAGGTCTGCTCACCATGTGGGACCCTCCTCCGGTGGCCGGGGAGCAGCCGGGGATCGAACCGGCTGCAGAGGCTGCAGGCAGCTTCGCAACCCAGCACTCAACCGCTGCGCCACCGGGGAGGCCCTGGTTAATATTGATTTTTAAGAGTATGTGGCAACTCAAATTTTGGAAATGATCTAACTGAATATGTAGCACAGTGTATGTGGGTAAGGATTTATATCTGTAATGGAAAAAAACAGTCTTAAATTTAGAAAATCTAAATATCTATAGCAGAAAGGTCTTAGCAAATAAACCATGGTGACAAAGAACACTGAACTGAGAGGTGGAAAACATAAGTCCCAGGCACCTCAGTCACATGGGTCCTTCTTGGTAAAATGGGAGAGCTGTCCTAGAAAATATTCAAGCTTCTTTCTTCCTGGAAAAGTCTGAGACCATTTTTTTGTTTCTTTGAAGAACTCTGTTGAACCATATTAATTACATCCAAAGTATCAATAAAGGGCAATAGCAATTAAGTTTCAATAAACAGTTTGGGCAAAGGTAGTAGTTGTTAAGACTATTCTTCACTAGGAAGTAAATGCTTTTAGAGCAAATGCTGCTAATTTCACTTTGTTTTCCACTTAACACACATATACATATGTAACTAATATGGAACCTATGATAATTTTAACCTGAACATGATCAGGATATACAAGTGGTCTTCTCTGACTAAGTTTAAGTATTCTTCCTACAACCGTTTTTAACTTTATCTACTTCTCTTTAATAAAAAATTCCATCTAAAAATGACTCAACTATGCTACATTATGGGGAAAAAACAATGAAGAAGTCAGAATACAGGAAAACTAGCTAATAAACACAAAGAGTGTGTCCTGGAGAAGTGCACTTGGGGTGATAGCCTAACTTGGGCCCAAAAAAGGGCTCAGTCAAGTCTGGATGGTGGCAGAGTTCACTAAAGGCATCAACAGCCATTTCTGCTATTCCCATTAACTTCACTTTACAACTGTTTTTTCATGAGTCCACAGAGATGAATAGGGAATCAGGATCAGAAAGGTTAAGTGCCTTCCTAGACATGACAAAGAAGTGGCCTTTGTACACATGTCAGGCTGCTTCTGTTGAATAAAGTGGGGATTTGGGAGTAATACATTTTCAGTCAATATGAGGAAAAACTAAAAGAACTTCTAAGCAAAATGAATTTCAGACACAATAGTAGGATTTCTACCAAAACCTACTTAAGTAAAGATATCTGGGATATTAGGATTAGTAAAGGGATTACACTCTGCGTCCTTTGTTGTGGAAGTATTTCTATGAAAAAAAAAAATCAGCTGAGTAAACAGTGTTCTTAGTGATATAAGTGATTAACTTTGGGGAACCAAGCTCCTTATCTAGTTGCTTTAACACTTGCTGATTGGGGGCCAATGCCTGGACCATACCACTTTTGATCACTTTAATGAACTCCTTCAAATCCATACTCTGCTGTTGCCTCCCCCCTCCACCCCCATTTATAGGTGAGGGTAGGAGAAGGGAAAAGGTAGAGAATAAGAAAATGTGTGTTAGTCTTAACCCAGATTAAATACAGCTGTGGGAAAAGCCAAAAACAGCCTTGGCAGGTGACCATTTTAGTCCATTTGACATTAATTATGGAAAAGTCACTAATACTTCTAGAAATGACATAGCAGATGTTAGACAAGGAGAGTTCTACAAGCCAGGCCCTATTTCTATGCTGCCTGGGAATCTACTAGACTTCCCATTAGCTCTACAAACTTCAGGAAACCCTGAGTTTAGAACCATGAGCTTCTTCTCTATGGGCAGGTTCATGATGCCACAAGCTCCTTTTCTGGTCCTTCCTTCTGGGTGTGGTCCCACTGAGGGTCTGGAGAAATCAGCTCAGTGTGATGGGACCAGCCTCCTGTGGAGTTAAGCTGAGGAAGCCTGGAAGCACAGAGACAAGGAGAAGGAGAATGCACACAGGAGTGGCAAAGGGGAGTAGAGTAGAGGACAGAGGCCTCAGAGACCCTAAAGATCCAGGGACTTTGGGTCAAAGTCTCCACAATGACTTCTTTGGGTAAGAGAAACTGATGAGGCTGAAAACAAATTAGAGGGGCACGATGTACCCAATAACATAATCCCACAGATGAGCTAACTCTGAATGGAATTTTGGGGGTTGCTATCAAAAGTCACCACAATACACCGACATGAACTTAACAGTGTTGCATGAGCTCAGAGGATTCGCTAAGCCACCAGTAAGAATAGTTTGGTAAATCCCAGTTACCAGTTTGCTACCCTGTAAATATAAAGCAGGTTCCCTGCAAACTCATATTTACATCCAGTCAGAAAAATGTATCATAAGACTGGTTATACAGCTGTTTTTTAGAGTATAAGGAAAAAAAAAACACATATTATGAGGAAGGGAGGGGGTTCATGCTTACTCTAGGAGAACAAGCCATATCCAAGAAACTCAGTATGAACTAGAACAGGGGTTGGCACACTTCTGTAAAGGGCTAAAGAGCAAATATTTTAGATTTGGAAGGCAGGGGAAGGGGTGGGACCTCTGTTGCAACTAAACGCTGGCATTGCCCCCACAAAAGCAGCCATGCAACCATAAACAGCAGGTGAATGAAGGGACACAACTGTCCATTTCAATAAAACATTATTTACAAGAGCAGGGAGTGGACAAGATTAGGTTCAGGGCTAGTTTGCCAACCCCTGAACTAGAACCATAAACACTGATTTCTACATGCAATTATAGCAAAGAAGACCCAATTTATAGCGTTTACTCCAACCAAAATTTATAGTAATACCTGATAATAATTCCAAAGCTGAGACAGATTCAGAAGAGAGGAGGCTGTGTAATTATGAACCTTATGACATCTGGGTGGCTATTGTTATCTGACCATTCCCTCCATATAATGCTTACAAGTTCAGGTAAAGTCACAGGAAGTATCATTTTCAAATATTACCTCTCTAAATCAGGTCACCCACCTCAGGACGCCCAATGCAATCAGGGACATTAATCATCTGAAAAGATTTTAGGACAGGAAAGTGAAAAAGATGCACGTGGTAGCCTGCCTCAGGCCACTAGTCCCAGCCCAACTGGTCCCAAACCAAGCTAAGAAAAGTTGCCACGTGAAGAAACTCCTAAAATAGTGCCCTCGCTCTGCAAGCACAAAGTTGTCTTCAATAACTGAGCTACAAACACTACCTGAGTATTAAAAAGACATCCACAGAAGCCTTGAAGGGAAACCACGTACCTGCGCTGGACTCTTCAGGAGGGGGGCTGCAATCTGCACAGAAATGGAGGGCAACACGGATGATTAAGGAGCAGCACACAGTTCAAACAGGAACAACTCAATGCTTAGAGAAACTGCAATTTTAGCAGCTTGCAGTGAAGAAGCTAAACTGCCTCTTCCCCAAGAAGTCACACAAAGGCACTCCGACTGCTCGGAGGCAGCCCCACGCTCTTGGTGGCAGACTGCCCGAGTCACTGACGTGAACATTCATGTTGCTGATATGTCAACATAAAATGCTCTTTGGGATAAGCAAACTAACATGTTACAATGTGATAGGCACCCTCATTTATCACATTGTATGTGACTGAGCCCCATGTGGGCTCATAAGATCTGGAAGCAAACTTATAATGAGAGAGACTAAGCAGTATTTTGAGCAGTCACAATTCAGGGCCACTGCCCTGATGACAGGTTTGACCTGAGTCAAACCCTGACCATAGAGATCCAAATGCAGGATCCAGTCATGAAACCAATATACCAGAAGACTGATCTTTAAATTTTAAACCAAATATATAACTTATGATTTGGGAGGAGTCTAGAATTAAAATATGCCCCCAGAATATCAACTTTAATTCAATTTCATCTACACTGAGTCACACTGGGAGGTACTCATTTTAATTTCACATTTCCCTTAAAAACTTAAAATCCTGGTAAACTGGGTGCATGTGCCACCTGAAAAAAAAACCAGGTTTGAAAAGAGATCATTTGGAGTAAAAGTTTATATTATATCTAAACATTTCCGTTCATAGAGCATCTTCAGGATATTGAAATGAGTGGTTTCTGATCCCCAAGAATAGCCAGAATCAGTTTTATGGTCCAGAAGGAGTGTCCAGAAGGGGTTACAAGGCTCATTCCTCCCTAATCATCTTTGGCAATGACTTCTTAAACTGGCAAAGGGGACAGAAATAGAGCAAAAACGAAGATATCTGTGAGGTGAAGATTTCTATAATTTCACTAGAGCCCAAGTAGTTTGAGGCTGCTACTATCTAACAAGGAGAGAAACCCACGGTGGTGTGGAGTGATGTGGGGCAGTAGTTCTGAACATCTGTCTAGCTAATGAGAATTACCCAAGGCCTTGAGAAAAATGCAGATTTCTGCCTCCTCATAATCCTTTCTGTAAAATTCCTAGTAAACGAAGAGGAAGGTCTAGTAGCCCCTTTTAAATGATGTTCTATAGTAAAGATCCCAAAGAGCATGGCTGGGATCACTCCTGAGAAGTCTTCATGGGTTAAGCCCAGCTTGGCAAATTCCTCTTTCAGTCAAAAGGGAAGAAAGAAGGGGCTCCTCTGGTATTCCTACACCGGCAGATTATAACTTGTCTTAGGTCACGGAGCCCTTTGAGGTTTGATGGCCACGATGGTCTTTCTCTCCACGCACATGCAGGATTTAGGACATAATACCGGGGACACACAAACCTGGGTGCAACTCAGAGACTTCAAGTTAAGAAAAACGACCCCAGATTTGAATGACACTTCAGGGATGAGGAGAGCAGAAGGGTGTGTGCATGTAGAATGCAATGGAGACCACCAAATCCTGGAAGTTGGTGATGGGGGGCTAGGGATGTGGGGCACTTGAGGGAAAACACAGGGAGGAGAGAGAGACTTAAGGAGCCTCTGGTTCCAGCTGGCAAGGACTTGTCAGTGGGTCCCATACAGCCCTGGGTCTGGGTGACCCCCACCCACCTGGCAGGCTAAGGGCACAGACCCAGGACAGGGTAAAGGATTGAAAGGAAAATTGGTGATGCCTTTTGAAGAGGCACAGAGTTGTTTATATGTCATAAATACACTGGTGTGAACACAATCTTCTCATTGGGCAAAAACAACTGCCCCAGTAACTTGAAATGACATAAGAATTTATGACAGAGACTGACTCTGGCCCTTAAGGACAATGTTTAGTAAAATAAGTGGCTCCTGGTCTGGTTCTTTTTGACCTCCAAATCATGCTGAGAGCTGAAGAGCTTTCTGGCTATGCTCAAGATTTTCTTAAGTTAAGGATCATCCACAGTTAACATTTTGGCATATGGTTTCATAATTTGAATACTGATCAGAAGAGTTAGACTCTCTCAAATGTATGCTTCACATTCTCATATCACAACAGAACTGATTTGTACAGCATACACAATTTCAAGTCAATCCCTAAATACCATAAAAAAATGCCCTTTTAAATACTTTCAAAATGGCAGTTAAATTTGTCTATATTTGAACAATATAGGAAGTGCTTAGAAAAAATGGCATTTAAGTAATAGAATAGTAACAGATTAAATAAACTTATCTCCTGCAGTTAAAAAAAAAACAAATAAATTACTCCTTATATCTACAGAAACATTTTTAAATTATAAGCAAGGCAATATCAAAGAGAAATGAGCAATGAACTATTAGAAAATTTTAAACAGAAACACAATGTACATAAAAAAATGAGAACACCTACAGAGACAAAATAGTTCCATGAACCAATTACAGGTTTGAAAAACTGAAACTATAATCCCTCACGCATGGAAAAGTAGAGAATGTGAACACTGTTAAAACAGAGGCACAAGTGAAATAATGCCCTGGAAACAGACTGCAAGCAGATTAAAAAGGCAAAGGATGTCTTACCAATGAAGGACTTATCAAGAGGCTCCGCTTTGAAGAAAAGTTGCCCAGTTCAGAAATTGAAAGTCCTTGAAGTATAAAACCTCACTCTGACACATCTGGGCTTTACTTGTTATGGCTTAACACTCCCAAAGGAGAGCACAGAGGAAGTGGAAGGCAGTCTGTAGCCAGGTGTCACTGCCTGGCCATAACCCTCTCTAGCTCTTATAAGAAAAGGCAGAAGGCCCTGAGCTGCAGGGACCACACATGCATTCCAAGGCTGTAAGGACAGAGCATCTGGTTAAGCTCTGTGTCTCTGCGGATTGAAGACTGCTTTTGAAATGTGTTGCTTCGTGCCAATGTCCTGCCATCTACTGACAGTTCCACTTTGGAGGGTGACGTCAAACAAAAGGACCTAACTCAGTTCCCCAGAGAGACACAAATGATTCCACCATCTGACTGAGTCACCAACAAGTCCCAATGCAACATAGCTCTGCTGGATAAAAGTGCATCCAGTCTTTAGACAAGACTGCTGGGCCTGCTAACAGCCTCATCCTGTGTCCCTACAATTCACCTGCTCCTTGACTGGTTATTTTTTATGACCAGTAACTAGATGTAATAGCAATCTCATCAGAAAGATATCTGAATCATGACTTCCTTCAGTTCTCAGATTCATTACAAACTAGAAAAGCCCAGGAGTCCAAGCTTCACTGCCATGTCAGTGACCCAGGAAGGCACTGAGATTCTGTCTTTGCCAGACATGCAGAAGCACAAGTGACTTCAGGGGCATGAGGACTATAGGAGCCTCCACCCTCACTGCCTGCCACAGCATGCACTGCGATGCCCCTCTACCCGAGGACCCTCCCTGCAGTCTGTGTTGGGGAGAAGGACATGGAGTGAGAGACACAGACAGAACGATGCAGCATGAGGTGGAGGTGGCACAAATGGAAAGCGTGAATGCATACGCACTTGTGGTTGGGTGAGGATGGCATGCAGCAGTGGGTATGGTGGAGGGGCATGGTGAGGTAGGGACATCGCAGAAGGGGTCCTCCGGTCTGATCCAGTAGGCGTGGCTGTCTCGGTTACCTTTCTTGCTGGTACAGCTTCCGGCAGAGGGGAAGACGTCCTCACAGCCCTCATCTTGCAGGCGCTCCTTCTGCAGCAACTTGTCCACCCGCTGAATGATGCACTCCAGGCTCTTGTCAACATTTAGCCACACTTTCTCCTTCCAAACCAAAAGAGTCCATTTGGGTGAGCTCCACCAGTAGGAAAACAGAAAGCAAACCAAACCATTCCCCATCAATCCCATACAAGGTCACTGCACTCATTAAAACACAAGATATAGAAATAGCAACATGATTCATAATTCCCCTTTAAATATGTATTCATTTCAAAACACAAATCAAAGCCTATGGTCACTGTTCTTAGAGTTTCAGAGATGTTTGCAAGTAACTGTCTTGAACGCTTGATAGGACATCCTGGTGCCTTCCAGTGGCAGCGAAAGGGCCACAGGGCCAGGAAGTCAGTCTCCTCCCTCCTCACTCTCTGCAGACTTTCTACCACCATAACACACAGAGGACTGAGATCACCTGGGTGGCAAAAAGGGAAGCAACTTAAGATGGGGGAGGTAGGGTAGCGCTGAGGGACATCTAGGAGAGGTCTTGCAGAAACCCACACAGAATACTGTGGGCGAGGTCATGGCTGAAGGAACACTTCAATGCTGAGTAATAATTCAGAGCTTCACAGAACAAAATCTCTAAACGGTCGTCCCAACAATGATAAAAATGGGCTGTAATATGTGTCACTCCTCAGAAGATACATATCCTGGCCCTCACAGCCAAATCTAGAAGTAAGCAATAATCTGACATAGTATCAGAAGCAGCCTCTCAAAATCCTCACCTAGCAGCCACAGCACCTGAGCTCCCATACCTCCAAAAATACAAACAGTCCCAGAAGAGTTAGCTGTGGGCAGAGTACTGAGGAAGCAGGAGAGACTTGTCTGGTCTTTAGTAGTCAGGGACTGGAGTGGGTCCCAACTCCAGAGAGAGGAAAGAAGCCTCCAATGGGGCAAAGGCTCCAGCAAGAAAATCCCCCTTTACAATGAGGTGTGAGGTGGACCCAGCACACAGCTCCTCACAAGGACATAACGTATAAAAATAATGTCTCCCCCCAGCAAGTCAGGTTGTCCCAGTGCCAAACAGAAAGGAGAGTTGGAGCTTGTATTCAAAGAGGTCAACCCTTTAGCCACCTTTGAGGGGAAGAAACTGGGAATAGGCTTCACATTATTCAATTCAAGCATAGTAGCAGAATAACAAGCCCTGGGCAGCTGACTCACCCACTCCTCCTCATGCCAATCCACCTGCAGAGAAGACCGGCTGTTCCTGCCTGTCCACCTGGCCATGAGGGTGTCCTGGTCATTCCTAAGCATCACCTGCTCCTCCTCAGTTGAAGTGGGGGAGGCCTTTGAGGCAATGTAGTCAGGTCGTGCAGCGTTCAGTCCATGGATGGAGTTGGCCAGCAGCTTACAGTCACAGACCGTGACCAGCTGCCGGGTCTGTGGGGACACACAAACATGGCCATGAGTCCCCAGGCAGGGGCTGCCAGGTCTACCCTCTCTGAGAGCACAGGGACTAGCTTGAGGCCCAGCCCTCCTCCCTCTACCCTTCTCCATGATGCCAAGAAATCAAGACCTGCAGTCTTAAAGATACCTGAATTTAAAGGCTGCCAAGTGATGAGCTGGGTAGAATATTACCAAGAGTTTCCCACCAAGAAGACTGGAGAACACAAGGAGGATGAGGGGAGGTTGAGAATCTTCCCTGACATCCTTCATTGCCTGCCTGCCTGCCTCTATGCCCGACATCAACAGAAGTATCTGAAAAAGGGCCAGTGTCTCAGCTCTCACTGGCTTTCTGGACATCCCCTCTAATTCCAGGGGGGAAGGCTCAATACTGAAGCCTTATTGTTTTGCACTTCTGCCTCTAGTACATGAAGCCCTGGGTTCTGGGAGTGGGGTACTTGGCATAGCACTTCTGGTTCTGGGGAATTCTGCATGCAACAGGAGTTCTGTGGCTCTTAATTTTATTTCTGACATCTTTCTTTTCCAAGTGTATAAAATGCCCAGCTCCCAATCTTTTTTTACTGGGTAAACATACATAAAGGACATGACATGTGTTTATGTGTGTGTGTATGTGTTGAGAGAGAAATTAAGTAATTTGAAAAAGCACCACTCATCAAAAGAATCTGATGAATCCATTCTCTCTGTATGGACCTCTGTATGGACCTATATGTTTTTAATGAGGATCAAATTATAGTTAATTAGAAGCTGGTTTACTGATTATATGTAAACCAATAAAATTACACAGTTCTTATGGTCTATGTAATAACTCAGATTTCTTTGACTTTTAAGTGCAATAGAAATGAGACCAAAAAATATAAGTAGGCAGTTACTAAGACAGCTGTGGAACTTCAACAATGATCCCCATGGACTTACTAGAAGACACAACTGCATGAAGCAGCAGCTGTGAGTCAGAGCCCTGGCTCTGTTCTTGGCCTGTCCCATCCAGCTCTGTGACCCTGGACAAATCACTAAACCTCCCTGGGCCTTTGTGTGGACCAGACCTGAAGCTAGATCTTCAAGGTCATCCCAATATCACCCTTGGTGTGGATAACTCTAGGCACAGAAGGTGTCCAGGGGCCTCCAGAAACCCAAGGGAGCCCGCCTACCCCACATACAGCTGGGAAGCCACTCCTACCTTGTCTGCCAAGATAGCAAGTGTCCTTTCCAGGCCTGTGGCAGACCTGTCCTTGGCTGCCCTCGAGAGCCGCTCTGCATAGTAACTCACTTGGGTTTTCAAGGTGTTAATCTGGGCAATGATCTCCTTGGCTCTGATGATGTCCTGTGGTATGTAGATTATAGACTGGCAACCGGATGATGTACTAAAAGGATTAAGAATAGACTCTAAGGGGTTCTCTTGAATCAATGAGATGGCAGCATCCCCGCAACCCAGCCCACGAACAACAAAAACAAAGCATCATTTACTCAGGGGTGCTCCCCTAGGCTAGTCTAGCTAGTAATAAGCTAAAGTAAATCTCATGAGATCCTTTCTGTCTATATGGTAGAAGTTTGAAATCTTAAAATACAATGAAGTCTTTTTATGTATATTCATATGTTCGTATTCTTACCGTGTGTGTGTGTGTGTGTGTGTGTGTGTGTGTGTGTGTACAGATACTGAACTCAGTAAATACCCAAATGCTCATAATCTTTCACTTAAGAACCTCATCTGTCAACTTCTAAGCAGCACTGATGTGGAGACACTGGGTCTCCTAATATCAGGAGTGAGTCTATCACAGGGAAGGGCAACTGCAGTAGGTGCTGAACTTTGCCAAAGGAATCTCAGTTTTCTCATTTGGCCAATCAAGACTTCAAACTTTCTGTGCACACACCCAAAATTCTACTTCTTTCATACATCTGACCCTAGCAAGTCTCCCCAAAACTGCTATTCCTTTCCTTCTCCCCTGCTCCAGGACTTCTCAACTTTGAAAAATGTTTCACCAGATGAAAAGGAGGTAGGAAATACCACCAGAGGACAGGGATGGATACCTCAATGGCTTTGAAAACCTGCCACTTTTTCTTTCCCTGCCATGTGACACCAAGCAGTGCATATAGCTTGGAAACTGATGTCAAAGCCACAGCCTAGTCATTGTTTGGCACAAACACTAGCCTCAAGAGAGCCAATTCCATGTTCCAGGCTGCGTAGGACCCGGCTGGCATATTTGACCCTTCTAGATGAAAAGATAAATTGCAAGTCTCTCAGGAAAGATCCCAAATCTACCTAATATTAGAAATCAATTTTTTAGAACACCTGATGATGCCAAAGAAAGCAGGGAGAAGTAAAAAGCATCAAAGCAGAGGTGTCCTCCTACAATGTAAAGTTGTGAGCTCCAGCTGAAGGGCTGTCTGTGATGAGAAAACAGCTATTTTGAGTTGCTGCCTAGAGCTCAGGACTCCCACTGCAAATACCTACTTTGTTTTTCCTGGGGTAACTTTTAGAATAACCACTTAGAATAAAGACTGAGAAAAGTTAGAGACCTCTGCCCCAACCACTCTACATGCAATAGGTGTTACCAGCCTGCTCTCTAACTCCTTCTGGCTCATGACCTGTGATGGAGTACTGCCCTTCCCCGCTCACTATGCTCCCCGCACCTTCTCCCTGGGCCTGTGTCTGGAATTTGCAAGTAATATATCTTGTGATTTTGCTTCCTTCGTATGAGTGTATTGGAACTGCACCTGTAATCAGAGTTTTACTTCCCCAAAGTGGGAACTCAAACTATGAAGGAGGTGCCTGCTGATCCCATGTAAGTGGCTTGTGCCTTCTCATTCAGCAGGCCATAAGCTACATACTCCTAGTTTAATATACCAATTATGGGACCCCCCAACAGTGTCCCATCCTTCATGGAATGTGGCCCTGACTGGTCCCCTCAAAGAGCTATATCCTTTGGGTTTGGGGGAAGAGGGAGATGAGGGTCCAACAACCTCCATGGCTTCCCTTTGAGACAAGGGTCAGGGCTGAGAACCTTTCCCAGTGGACTCTTTCCAGGGTAACCTGAAGTGGGTCACCTGCCCCTTCCCTTGACATACTATGGAGAGAGCATGCAAAAACTGAAAACCAAAGCACCCCAGAAAGAAACAGTACCCCAAGCCCACACACCACAATAAAAAATGATGGAATTGCCAGAAGCCCATGCAGCAGACCGCAATCAAGCCTGTGTGGTTTGACAAGAGTCATTCCACAGCATGATGTGCACACGACTACTTTCCAATCTGCAATCACTCTTCCAATGAATAGCTGCTATTTAAGATGGCTCCATCTTAAAAAAAAAAAAAAATCTCAAAATAAAAATTTAAAAAATCTATATTTCTCAGGGTCCCATATTTGTAGTATACATGTATGGTGTGCTACATGTAGATGCACATGTGTGTATACAGATGGCTGTGCACACTTCAACTAATACGTACCTTTCCCCAAGTATGAGCAATAAGCATCACCCCCCTCCCACTCATCCTGTATCCTTATAGGTAACATTCTAATGATAGTAATCTGGGATTAATGCAGAACATAAGAAAAGTACATGGCATGGTGAGAAAGGACAAATTTTGAAGAACTGTCATTCAGGGATGATCATGTGTGCTCAACCACCTAGTCCTAAAAATGGGGAAAACTGACAAGGCCCCAGGAGGTGGCTTGGGGGTGTAAACCAAGACTTGCCACTGTCAGACATCTCCAGGAAAAGCCTCACATCTCAGGCACTGCTGAGCCACAAACCCCAGAGCCTCCCAGGCTCTGGGATGGCAGCAGTTCCCAAAAGGCTGCAGGTGCCTTGACGCACACTGCCAAAGAAGCCACACTGCAGTCCCTGTTCTGGACTTGGGCAAGTACTGTGAGCATGACTGGGAGGGGCTGTGGTCAGCAGTGGAGACCCCCCAGGAGCAGATACTGGTTTCTGGCTGTCATCTAACAATTCTATGGTAAGAAAAATCACTTGGTTTTATTCATTCTTGGTCTTCCCTGCAAAGGTAAAATGGACGCTAGTAACACTGTTTTTAAATAAACTGTTGAATATCATGAAAACTAAAAAGCCCTAAGATTCTTACACAAGCAGCCAGAAAAAGACTTCTAACTACACCAATGGGTTGACCTGAAATCCTAGCACCCTGGGGACTTGCCTGGCCTGGGCTCTTCCTCATCCTGGAGAAACAGAATTGGTTCTTCTCTCAGTGAGCACAGCAATGAACGGTTGCCAGATTGTAAAAATACAATAGCAGACTGGAGGTTGGCTATTCATTACCAAAGAACATTGCAGTTGGAAGAGAAAATTCTGTCTACAAGGCTATAACTAGGAACCATGGTGGCACCCGGGGGTGAAGCACCTCACAGAGGAGGGGACAGCACAGGCTTTCTCTGCATGAGAGCAAGACCCAAAACAGACACTCTCTCCACAGACAGAAAACTCACCAACACTCCTCAAAACTGCTAAAGAAAAGAACCAAAATGAAGTATTAGCAGTTTGTTAACAAACACCAAATGCAAAACCAGAAAGTAAAAACCCAAGTTATCTTTTGTTAAAATACCTTTAAAATATTTGTTGAAGCCCCAACTACAGGGATGATTACTCTTAAAGGCCCAGTGTGCTAATTCATTGCAGAGCAACATCAGTGCCTGCGTGCAAGCCCCAGGGAGCCTTTCCACTGGAGGGCAAGCCTTGTGGGCATTTAAAGGAAAGTTCAAATGATGAAAACCATTTCTACAAATTGATTTTGGAGGAAAAGACACCTTACGTATTTGAAAAATACTATAAAGGCATTTTGGGAATAGGTAGTTCTGAAGTTAACATAGAGGATAATCAATTATCAATATCCCGACCTTCCTGGGACAGAGGCAGCCAGCTGGCACCCCCTCTTGACTGGTTTTCTCCTCCAGAACTCCAACACCATCCTCAAACTGCACGCTCACACCTCCACACAGCCACATGCAATGAGCAACAGACACGCGATCGCTAGCTGGCTGTGCAGAGCTGTGGTGGGCATGGGAAGTTTCATCCTCGTCATCGTTCCCAGAAAAACACTGGAGTCAGTGAATCCGCGGGCAGTTCGGGTCACCTGGTTTGTCTACCCAGGCAAGAACCCTCGATGGGGGTCAAGCAGGCTGTCCAGACATCCTAGATAACACTGCCCTGGCCTGAAGGCTAAAATGCCCCTTTCTAAGCACAGATCCTTTTGTTCTTCCTCCTGCAGTTCCCAGCACTCCTGTGGCTCTGGGCAACCTATGCACAGTCTGAATGGTGACTTCATGCAGAGCACACTCTTCTGCTTGTCTGCTCACCCCTCCATGCCTCATGACCAAGAGGCTCCTAGCTGCATCCCTCATCCCCGCAGCCCACTGACAGACAACCACACCTTACTTTTCACACCCTACCCTCAATCTAGCCCAAGGCCAATTTTCAAGCTGCATCCTGACTTTAGTCACAACAGCGCAGAGCTAAGTCATGGCTGACTAGATCTGCAAGAGCTGCTAATACTCTCCACCTGACCACTTTGGCAGACTATCGTGATGCTCTCTTGTCTTTAGTTTCACCCTCCTTCAAACTTCCATTTTTAGTGGATAAACCTGACCCTTTTAACCCTACATTCTGCAGACTGTTCTATCTTCAGTGTTATTCCTTTCTACTTAAAAAAACATTCTATAACTCTCTTCTTTTCTCATTTCCCTAACTTTGCTCCACCAAGGTTCTTCTACTTAACCTCATTTGCTTTCATCTTTCCTATCAGCCTGAACACATGCTCAAGTCTTAATTGCAAGTTCTCTCCAAACCTGAGATCAGTGCTACTTCCCTACTTCACTGTCCAAGAATCTTAGAGGATCATTTACATTCAACACCTCTACTCTTACACTGGCATCCTTTGATCTATTTAAATCTTGGTGGGTGACATTCTGGAAGACCACCAAAGTCTGATCTAATAGCCTGGATTTATGGCTCTCTCCCCATCACTCCTGCTCTGTGCTCCACAGCACATAGAATAGGCTTATTCTAAGCATACAGGTATTACTTATTCCCCACTGTGCTCCTAGGCGAGGCCCACAGCTTCTTAGGGCCAGGCCTAGATCTGTCAGACCAGCATCCCTGATCACCAGTGCACAGCTTCACAAAAACCAGGTTGCCACTGAAGCCAGATCTCCCCCTCAAGCTCCTCTGTCCAAGATATCGAGCCACACCTCACTGTATACTTTGCACTGGCCTTTCCCACCCTGCCTACCTGGCAGTTCCCTGCTCAGGGCAGAAGTTGTGTGCAGCCCCTGTGTCTTTTTTTAAAACTGGAAATGTTTACCACTACAGCCCTTTATGGAAGGAAAAAGTCTCTTCCAGGCTTTGCCCTTTTCCACTAGCTGACCAGGGGCTCTAAAGGGCAGCCAAGTCAGCAGAGATGCCACATCGGGTAGCTGCCTACAGCACCACTTTCAAGGTGGGGTTCAATTTGTAGTTCACTTTGCAGTGACAGGACCACTTATTGAGTGCCCTCATCACCCACCCAGCTCAGTCGCACACATACAGAGCAGCACAGGGTCCATAAGGCAGCTCTTCCAGCCACACAGAAGCAGATTAGATGGCTGGATGTTCTTGCAGTCATACTTCAATTTTTCTTTTAACCTAGAAAGCATCAGACACGTGTACAAGGGCCACAAACACCATTCAGGTACTTACTGTTTCTTGGTCTCTTCAAATTTGTGCAGCTTTTTGCGGAGACCTCCTGACTTAAAACCTTGGCAGTGTGCTGCTGGTGCTCCAATGGTGACGACATCATAGTTCTGATCTGAATGACAGAAAGCTCACCTCCATTACACAGGGCTCAAGCCTGTGGACAAGCCAGCTACAGGGATATGCGCACAACTCTGCCCCCTTCTGTCAAACCAGCCTGTGATTCCCTTCATTCCATAGCTTGAGCTGGCCAAGGGCATGTGGGACCTAGCACCATCATCTCAGCAAAGAGGGATTCTAATGTCTCAGGGGGAGCTGGAAGGGGCCAGAGGCAATTGCCCAGCAACATTCTGCTTGAATCTCTCCTTTGGAAGGATGACTGCCAGGCAGCTTTATGCCACAGAAATACAAAGGAAGCTGGAAGGAGGAGAGACGAGAGGAAAGGGCTTATGCTCTTTAACAAAGACCTTAAAAACGTTTTTGTGATGTGTCTCTTGTCAGAGCTGCCCAGCAGAACACACAGTGAAGACCAGGGCAACTGTAAGGCAGCTCAGGGACCAAGTATAGAGAGAGAAAAGAAATGACATGTAATTCAACAAGAGGGACAGAGAAATAGTTACCTGATCCTCCATCGTCTTGAACTCTCATCCTTTGTATGTGCAAATTTGTGGGAACAAACTCTAATTTTTTATCTGCTTTCAAACTGCTTGCTTTAAACGAAGGACCTACAAAGTGGAATATGAGAAAACAAGGTCAACAGGCGTCCTGCACTCATGGATAGTGAGCAGACGGCAATACTGCAGGAAAGCAGATAGTTGTTGGTAACAGTCTAGAAAATTCTGAGTTTCCCATGAGCACATTTCATTTCCAGAGAGCAGGTGGGTAACTTGACGAGAAGGCAGCTTGCTTGCCATGCTTCACCTTTCCATGATTCAATGCTCAGCCGAAAGATCTGACACAAAGACATGATTTGGTGTAGCACAATGTTAGCAACTCTAGAGAAAGCAAATAAATCCATGCCGGGACTGCCTGTTCTAACTCTAGAGAATCCATCACCCAAGATTTAAGAAAATGGTTCAACTCTCTAATTGAACCACACATCTCAATTGTGAAAAGTGATGAAAAGGTTGCTCATCATCCAGATCTACCCAGATGAACAAATGCTTTATAATGTGTATTCTGGCCCTGAAACACAAGCTTAAACATTTTTCCTTGTTTATATACTTGGGTGATTAAGGAGGCTGGACCATGTCATGAAACTAACTAAACAAAGAACCACATGCCCAGGAATGAAAGGGACTATAAATTAAACTAACAGTCCCAAGAGTAGAAGAAATAAATACTCCATATAGTGAAAAGGGTAAATTTATTTTGCCAAGATACAATACCAGCCTTTGTCTATTTTGCATTTTGTCACAAGACAGTGCTCTCTAGAGCCTCATACCAGCTCAGTGAGAGCCACAAACAAGCAATATTGCATCTGGGAATTTGCTAGAAATGCAGAATCCAGATCAATCTTTTAACAAGATTCTCCAGGGATTTGGATGCACATTGACAGTTAAGAAACTGCTCTTAGAGGGCCTCCCAGGTGGCGCAGCGGTAGAGTGCTGGGTTGCGAAGCTGCCCGAGGCCTCTGCGGCGCCAGTTCGATCCTCGGCTGCTCCCCGGCCACCAGAGGAGGGTCCCACATGGCGCGCAGACCTCTCCTGCCGCCTGCTGCTCCCCTCAGCAGTGTACTTCGGTCCTTCTGCCTGTTCTGCTCCCCGCTCTGGCTCTGGTGAATTCTCTCACCCTCCCGCGCTTCTGACTGTACCCAGTGCATGTATAAACAAAACAAACAAACAAACAAACAAATAAATAAATAAACATGCCTCTATAAAAAAAAAAAAAAAAAGAAAGAAACTGCTCTAGAAAACTCAAGGCTGTGTGAATTTCCCACTTTGCTAGGCAACAGAAATCCAGCATAGGTAAGTCCCTAATTCCTTCAGGCACATATCATTTCCAAAGAGCAGGTGGGTGAACTGTCATGTCTCTGGACATATACTTAGACCTTTTCTTCATATTCAGATTGAAACTAGGGCACCGTCATCTTGCCACCACTCCTGTATTTGGGTTCTTCTCAACCAAGTTCATGGGCAGGTTCCTATATTCTACGTCAAAATCACAGTAAGGGCTTCCCATAAGCCCTGAAATTCCTTTACATAGAGAGGAAGGAGGAAAGAATCTGATAATAGAGAATAATGAAAAAAATTCATTTCATTTGTAATAAAAGGGTAATGAGTTAAGGCTTCTAAATCTAGCCCTAGAGTGTTTTGAGAACCAAATGGTAACTTTCAAGAAGGTAAGTGGTTTTATTTCACTTTCTCTTTTGAGCCTTAAAATGGAGCATTCTACCTAGATAATTCATATGTTCAAGACAAGTATCACTGAATATTTAAACTAGTAAACCACTTTGTCTAAAGGCATATGCCTACACCCATCCTTTTGGTCCTTTCATTAAATTAGACCAAGATGAAGAAATAAGATAATCCAACAGCCTGACATTCTGTCTTTCCTAAATTTCATCCTACTGTTGTTTTGGCAGATGACAGTATAGAAGGAATTTTCAATGCAATTCACAGATTTGTCTCCTTAGTAAAGATCTGAAAAACCCATTTTTGAAAGAATTCACACCTACATGAGAATCTATTTTTAAAAATCCATCAGAGTATTTTTCAGTGAGAGCATTTAAGCAACCTGGGCTTCCAAACTTCTAGCTGAGAAAATGGAGAGATGAGGATGAGATCCAGCACCCACCTTTGTACTGATGCAGGTCAGTCAGGTTCTCCTGATATGTGAGGATGATCGTCTGGTACTGAGTGACAATTTGGCGCCGCAGACTCTCCCAGCAAGGGGACAGCTCCCCCAGCTCCTCCAGTTCACATACTCTGCAATCAAGACACACACATCAGGTTGAACAAACAGCTTACTACTTCCCTGGAGAGACACAGGCATCCTAATAGACCAGAACAAAATGCGCATGGAAGTATCATTGATGCCCAGTGAAGGCACAGGACAACAGCAACACTGCCAGTCTAGCGGGCCAGCAGCGGGCAGGATCATAGACCACTCCGGGAATGGGTACATGGAAGGCAGGACTGACATGGGGAAAAGTGCAGTGTTTTACAGAAACTCAGTCAAAGGTCCAAGGAAAACTAAGTGGAGGAGGGGAGAGGAGGGAGATCCTAGGGAATGGGCCACACAGACCAAGGCTTGATCTGTAGCCTGTCTGTATCTGTGCAGAACAGAACACATGAGTACTGGAGCCCTATAGTTGACTGCTCCAAGGCCACTTCCTACTCAACTCTCTCTCCGCTTTGGACTTTCAAGAGATAGTTTCCCACTGCCTCCCACATTCTGGTGAGGTCTGGGCTTTTTGTTCTCCACTAATATCAGAGCTGCAGAATATACAGCTGCTCAGCCGCATCTACAGGATGTCCTGCTGCAATGCTACAGCCACAGAGTCAGTTTCAGTGTCATACTTTCAGGGTATGGGAGGAGGACTATGGGGAACTAGCACTGTGGCTATGCTTCATTTTGCTGTCTCTATAAGTAATGAACTGTTTAAATCTATAGTGGGGGAGGCAGAAAGAAAAAAAAAAAGGATTTGTTATTTCCAGAAAAATAAAAGCTGTACAAGAACTGAAATGAGAATTTCTTAGCTCAGCAGTAAATAATAGCTACATAATCAGAAAAACTGAAATACAAGACACATGTTTTTTTAAAAAGATAGCCATATTAGGGAAAATGAGGAATGGGAAAATAAAAGTGACCTAAAATCCACATCACAGGAAAGCAGTAGTTAATCCCTAGAATTGGCTAAGAGAGTACTCTATGCACACAGTTAGAAATACAGCAGCAAACACTGAAACAGCTAAAAGTGGTTGCTTCTGGGAAGCAGATCAGAAGGTAGAGGGCCCCAATACTTAAATATTTTGTTAAAGGCATTTTGGTATCATTCGGCTTTTTATACTGTGGATGCTTTCTTTTGAGGGGGAAGTAAAGCTAATGTTATAATTTCATGAAAACCTTCAGGAATCTACTAAATTGTTCAAAGTTTAAAAAAAGTTGTGCTGGGCCTCCCTGGTGGCCTAGGGGTTAAGTCTCAGTGCTATCACCTCTATGGCCTGAGTCTGATTCCACACTAGGGAATAACCCACATGTGGCACAGCAGACCTCTCCTGTCTCACCCGCTGCTCCCCTCAGGAGTGTATTTCAGTCAATCAGCCTAGTCTGCTTCTCACTGTCTCTAGTGAATCCTCTCGCTGCATTCCCTACCCCACACACATCTGGCCTACACCCCAGTTCTTCTACATGAAAAAAAAAAAAGTTGTAACATTTTGCTATTATTAAATGAGCAAAGTTAATGTAAAAGACCCAATGCAGGCAAGGCCGTGTGAAACCGATGTGCCTGTACAATGCTAGTCAGATGGTCCCTGACCTCAGAGCTGCTCATGAGCACTTGGGCCCCACCTGACTCCCTCTGCCTGTGCTGCTAGCCCTCTCTCTGGAGGTTCTTGCCCCTGTGTTTCATGTGTCTCCTTACACTTAAACCAAAAACCCACCAAGTGACTGAGCCTGAATGTTCCTCCTTCATCACATGCAATCTTCTCTCAGAATGTATAACTCAACGCGTGTCAGCTTAGTGTCACCATCTCACAAAGGTCTGCTGGACCATTCTGATTCTTTCTCATAGTCCCTTTTAACTTCCACGTGCTGCTGACACATCTGGGACTAAGTGTGTAACCCTCTAGTTCTGTTAGTATCTCTCATCATCTGGCTGGCTCACCAAGAAGCCTCCCACACTGAGCAAACACCACCACATGGCTGGTTTGAAAAATAACAACAAAACCACTGAAACCACAGTGTTTGTTAAATGAACAGACTTTCCAAAGTTGTAAGTACTGAGAATTATGCCATAATTAAAAATTATAACATGCAAAATGAAGATATATGGAAAAGTACATTGTAGCTATGTAAATATGTACAAATATGGAAAAGTTGTAAGGAATTTTGAAAAATTAAAATAACTATAAAATATATACCTATAGAGAGATAAAACAGCTTGTTGCCAAAGTATTGCTATTTTTCTCTCATATAAAATAACTGTATTAAAACTAATAGGATTCTGGATGCATTGTGTTCTCTTGTGTTCTTGTTATATTGTGTCCATAATTAATGCTGCTTTGTGAAAAGGAGTAGAAATGACAGTCTGGGGCAAACAGGATATGGACTCTGCAGTGCCTGAACTACCTCTCAGGTCTCTCCCTAATGACAAATGTATTGGGCCAAGAGATGCAGAGAGCCAGCATGTCCTGGCTGGTTACATTCAGTCTTCTGGAGCTGAATGGAAACCACTGACCCAAGCAGCTACAACCAGAGAATGACCAGCCATTTCTAACTTTCTATGCTGAATGAGAGCAAAGGGAAGATGCGGGAGGGAGGGAGGAGGCAATAGGAGCTGAACATGCTTCTGGTGTTTCAGGCACATTGTGAAGTCCTCACACAGAAACCTTGTCACACAGAGACACAAACTGAGGCTTTGGGTAAGCCCAAGCCACAGAGCCAGCAAGTGGTAGATGCTGGGTTTGCATCCTGACCTATCCATGCAAGTGCTCTACCCACTGCATTTCAGAACTTTCCCAAAAGTAAGGGTATGCGCGGTAGACGCATGATGGTGGCTGACCCTTCCACTGGCCTCACCTGGCTGCATCTTCTTCCAGAAGGAGCTTCACGAACTGCCGGGGCACATGCAAGGAGAGCACACTTTCTGCCATCTGCTCCAGGATCCGAAGGTGGTTGCCATCGGTGGTTGGGAATCGGTACATGCGGCAGATGGCCCCGCCAAACACTGAGGTGGGGTGGTAGGGGAGACAGAGGCTGTGTGAGCTGGGTGCTGACTTGCTGTGCAGGTCTTCCTCCCCAGGTCCTCAAGGGTGTTGAAACTCTCAAGACTTCTTACTGTTCATCTCAAGGGAATTAAAACACTTAAACCAGGGGCCTCCCTGGTGGCGCAGCGGTTGAGCGCTGGGCTACGAAGCTGCCCGCAGCCTCTGCAGCGCCAGTTCAGGCCGCCGGTGAGGGTCCCACATGGCGCGCAGACCTCTCCTGCCACCCGCTGCTCCCCTCAGCAGTATATTTCATCAGCCTGCCTATTCCACTCCCTGCTCTGGCTCTGGTGAATTCTCTCACCCTCATGTGCTTCTGTCTGTACCCATTGCTTGTATAAATAAATAAATCTTAAAAACAACTTAAACCAAAAACCCAAGTGACTGAGCCTGAATGTTCCTCCTTCATCACATGCAATCTTCTCTCAAAATGTATAACTCAACGTGTAAGGGTTAGAGCAGGGAGCTTATCAGTCACCAAACCCAGAATGAAACACATTGGAAGGAGGAGGCTCTTCCTTGGAATATTACCGTTTTATATGCTGGCAAAAAGAACAGCATATTGATTGGAAGCAGAGAGGAAACCATCAGGGTACATGACAGTGGCAAACAGCAGTATGGAGGAATGGGGAACATGGGCTTGAGTGGACATGCACAAAAGTGGCAAGGGGACCAGCAGAGGATGTAGTTTACCTGATTTCAGTAAAGTGTCTTTTCTCAAAGAAGCATATTTGGATCGGATTCCCAATGCCTCAGTCAAGCTCTCATCAACGGGCAGAACCATCTAGTAGTAACATGTACAGAAAAACATAAAGAAAACTATGAGACTACTCCAGAGCTCTCAGGAGAAATGATGGCTACAGACAGCATAAAAGATCTCTTAAAATAAACAATCACCATTAACTTTATAAGGAATACGCTGCTCAAGTCACAAATTAGTCCACATTCCATTCTATTGAAGAGATATGCAGATGTGGAGTGTGCATATCTGGGAATGAAAGATAGTAAGAAAATGCCAACGATAATCTGGGTCTCCACAAGCCACTCCTCTTCCTTCCTGACAGCATCTCTACCCACCCCACTCTACAGGAGGTCACTGACATGCTCCAGGGCTGCACTCCCTAAAAGATACGATCTCTACTTAGAAAAGTGCTTGGGGGGTACTGGCATGTCCTGCAGAGGCTGCATCAAATAGCAGGTCCTGCCTTTCCCTTCTCCAAGCACAGAGGCAAAGTCCAGCTGGACACGCCTCCTTACTCCTTCTAATGGAGAGGTGGTGGGAGGTGGGCTCACCCTCCCATTCACGGTGTCCAGAGACCGGGTCACAGGGGGCCGCTGGTCTGATTTCTCCTCCATCTGCCAGCCGATCACAGTGATGTTACCCACACGGTCACTTTCTGCAGACCTGCAATGAGCAACCTCGATAAGTGTTGCAACTGCACTTCTTTTGCTGCTTAAATATAAAGCTCAGTCATCCTCCATTGTATAGGGGTCCGGAGAAACCAGAATCCAGCCAGATGGTCAGTCAGCCAGTATTCACTGCATGCACTAGCTCCAGGGGAAATACTGATGAGGGCTGCAAGGGAAATGGACACAGCACCAAAGACAAGCATGGGTGTGCCTGGAGGAACAAATGCTCACTGGGGAACTGCCTGTCAGAAGCAGGACTAACCCTTGCCCCAGGGACATATCTCAGACTCAGGACTGGAGAGCACCCTCTTCTGGCACTGGACTACTTTCTGCTTCTTCCCACCTCAAGTTTTGATTAGTCCCAAAGCCTAGGCCTGAATGACAATAAGCTTAGGTCACCAAGAGTTTCCCAAAGCTTCTGAATCCTGACATGTTACAGCTGATGCTATACCAGGTCTAGTCAGCTTTACCCCTAGGGCCCCTCAAAGTGGCAGTCAGCTGTCTGTGGCCATCTGATTCATCTGGGGAAGGTCCAAGGACACCCTGAAACTTCAGGATTTTTATTTAAGATGTCTGATTTAGCTAGGCTCTAAATTTTAATGTGGTCACATCCATGTACCATCTCCTTTGTGGCTTTTTCTGATTGTTCTTATACTTGGAAAAGTCCTTCCCAAAACTATCTGTTCAATAGTCACCGTCAGCTCCTTTAAAAAGGATGCTGGCCATCCTAAACTAGATTTAGTTCTGGCCTAGGATATACCTTAATATTTTTCCCTAACAGCCCCTCCCCCAACATTATCCCTCTAATTTTCCCTAAGACTCTGCCTTTATCCTGAGTCAGATTCTCCATGCACACTAGGGAGCTGCAGGGCTCCCATAACGTCCAATGTCCACAACCCTATCATTGAAGGAAATTAATCTTCTGTGATAGAATTTTGTTCGCTAATTCTGGACTATTTTCATAATTTTTACATTTTTTTTGGGGGGGGCGGGGAAGAACACCATGTCAGGGTTTAGGTATGAATACTCCAAAAATTAATTTGGGAAGGGCTTTCACCATGACATCTTTCATCTTCCCTCCAGAGATACAGTGGGGTTTCCTCCCTCTCTTCTCCCTTCCACAAATATTTGTTGAGCGCTAGACACTATTCCCGGTCCTCAGGATAAAGCAATAATGCAAAACAGATTATAATTCCTACCTTCTGGGAAATTCTGTTCTATTAAGGAGGGGACAAATAATAGTCACTAGATATGTATGTAGGTTTAGCACTGAAAAAAGCTGTGCTCTGTCTCCTATGAACCCTACACATTTCCATTTCCTGATAGGCCCTTTGCTAGGTCTTTTACCTTGCCCTGATGGTAACCAAGCCCCTTTAGACCAGTCTGGGAAGGGGCAGGGTACTCTCTCAACATAAGAAATGGCATCTTTCCCCCTCTGTTTCTGGACCTCATAATTGTACATTCTGTCAAAGGAACAAAGTTAAATACCAACCTTAGTGTTAAATGCAACCTATGATGCCTATCCTGGAGCAGATCTTTGACAATGAATGTTCCAGAGCCCAGTAAATACATCTGAGAAAGAGTGGAGGAGAGATACAGTATTAGCGTGTTCACTTTGCTATTGGTCCAATTACCAGGTCCCAGGAGAGTCCAGTTGGCTGGTTCCCACAACACATCTGACCCTCATCCTCATCTCAGAAGTCCAACAGGGATGCTCAAAAAGAAATTCCCCAAGGCAAAGAGGTTTGCACATCAGTTACTTTGTGAGCCAGTAGTGAATCTTGTGTTCAGTTCTCACTCAAATGGTTACAGAACTTTAAAAAGGGGAAGAAATGTAACATGTTTACTTAACTGTTCCCTGAGATCTATCTTTGACATCATACACAGAGAGTTTGATTTGTGTCATCTGATTGATAAGAGAGTCTTGAAAAAAGGCAATACTGCTTAGAAATATAGGATTGTTGGTTCCCTAGAAAAGAGAATAATCAGAATACAGTGTTAGGTTTATAAACGTAATTGCTTTTGAAATACATCAACATTGCAGAATGAGAAACTATCATTCTTACTAAATTTGATCTACGCAAATGCTAAAGCAAGCTTAAATGTATGCATACAACCAAAAACCTGCTTTCTAAAAAGGAACAATGCACAACAGACTATTCTAGATACAGACATAAAATGGGCCCACCACACAAGCTGTGCCCAGAGCTCATTCCAAGGGCTTCTCAAACTCAGGAGAGCTTTCAAAAACTGAAACAAGTAGGGCCTGATCTTTACAAGGTGGTCCTTTTCTGAAAAACAGTTATTTTCTAATTGCAGGTGGCCATTTTGTGACAGCTTAGTCCTGTCCCTCAAGCCCCAAAATATATTCTCTTCTTAGGCAGTGGTTAACTATCTCAGTCAAACAGTTTCTACCCTGCTGTGGGGTCCATGCCTCCAGCAGTATTCCCTATGTAGCTCCAGATCCAGTTTCTCAGTGTCTACTGGGCTGTCCCTCCTGGGTGCTTGGCTGAGGCCTCACCCAGCCCTTCCCTCCATCAGGCCTTGGTTAGGGGACTCTCTGACTCTATCTGAGGTTATGCACCTGAGCACCTGCTTTGGTGACTCCTTCTCTACTGTTCTCAACCACCCAGGGACCAATTCCCCCTGAAAGTCCCACCCCCAGAACCTGTCTCATATGCACCCCTTACTTGTATTCCTTTGCACCACCAGTCAGTTCCTACATCACCTCCTCACAACTGTTTGAGGTAAGTCCTCCCTGAAACACATCCCCTCATAAAAGCCAGCATACAAATAACACACAACTCCCCAGCCTGATATTTACACTTTCCTCTCTTGCTCTCCCACTTGTGTCTTTTGCATACACTGAACAAGATAGTTATTCTCCACACCCACATGATGCTTTCCTATCACCATGCCTTTGCAAAGCAGCATGGGCATCACCTGGGAGTTTGTGACAAATGCAAGTCTTAGGCTTAATCCAAACCTATTAAGTGAGAATTTCACTAAGTCCCTCCACCCCCGAAGCCTCCAGAGGGCAGGTGAGGACCTCATTCTGATGCCAGCCTCATCTCCCTATTCTACACTTCCCACACTCTGCTGTGTATAGATGCAGCCAAGTTCATCTGGGGCTCCCCACCCACAGGATGGTAAGATCTCAGCCTCAATGGTCTTTGTATTGTCCACAGCGCCTAGTACTGTGCTTTATGTGTAGGTAGTGCTCAACAAATGCTTAGAAAATAGAATTATTAACAAACTTGAAAACAAGTTTCCAAGAGAATGAAAGGGTGGTCTATCTGCTAACATATTATACTGGGGAAGAAGAGGAAATGCAGTTTAAGTTTGTTTGAGACTGCTCGGAAGGGTATAATTCACACAGAGCTCATACCATGCAGAATCTTACACCAGCAACTCTTAGTTTCATAGTTTATATATGTGCTCAATTATCTGAAGATTTTGTAAAATTCCCTCAGTAAATATATATTATTTATTATAAAAAAAATACAACTCAAAGGATATTAAAGAAAAAACCAATAAATATTTACATAGAGAGAAGCAGCCACATTCATTTCCCTCCCAATCCATAAGATGGTAAAGTCGCTGAGGGCAGGGACTGGGCCTCAATGGTGGATGTCCCCATAAGGGATTTGGTTAATAGTTAACGCTCTCCAAACCGATTAATGTGCACAATTCTCTACAAGTAGCAGCCAATTGGAAATGACAAGGAAGAATTAGGTTTATCTCTTAAAAGAGGTAAATCTTTTGCCTCTTAAAAGGCAATCTAACTTATAGGATCATTGTTCAAAAGTAAAGAGTAAATGGTCAAGCACTAATAATTGTAAAGGATATGCAAATATAAATGCAACCCACATGAATAAGTATGAGAAAAAATATCAATGTTCTGGAAAACCATGGGAAAATGGCAACAATTCACATAAATATAATTGCAGCTGCATGAGCTCAGGTCAGTGAACAGCCTTCCTCCCATCAGGGCTGAAAACACTAAGGGAGCTTATCAGTCCCCCATCCCCCAGGGGCCAGCAACACCCACCTCGATAATCTCCGTCTGTGCATGCTTTGTCCAGAAGGCCTGAGGAGGGGTGGTTACACTCACTGCTACAAAACTATTTGGTTTTCGATCTAGGGATGGCGTGTGCAGCTCACTGCAAGCTATAGAATCAAGATGGGAACAAGATGGGAAAGAAATGAATCTTTTAAGATTAGGTTCCAGTTAGTTCTCTGTTGGAAACATATCCAAAGAAAGCAAGAAGAAAAAAAAAAAAAGTAAATGTTACTCAAAGGGATAAGATGATCATGTTGTCAGTAAACAAAAGGTGATTTTTAAAATTTGAAACAATCTCTTCCCACACTCCTTCTTTTCCCGCCCTCATGACAGCAGTACCCAAACTGCGATGGAAGGTTGAGCTAAAGAAGGCTTTCAATGCCCATGGAATGTTGCATGGCAGTCTGACCATAAGGCTTGACCTTAATAATGTATTGCATTATTAAGTCCCTGAGCTAAGGCAGCCACAGAGTCAATTAAATCAAGACACAGCTACACACTCTTGTATTTTATGATGGCCACTGCCAACCCTATACTTAAAGTACCCCATGGGTCTCTGTGTGGATGTATGTTGTAAGCAAATTAAAATTCTATAGCAAAACAAAGCCTTTAAAAAGAAAAAAAAAAAAAGGAAGCCATTGCTCATTTATTTCTTTTATAAGACTCATCAAATATAAGTTTACTAAAAATGGTACATTTCAGAATTAAAAGTACCCTGTAGAAACATTTCAATTTGTTGTAGTAAGCATTTTGAAATAGATAACAAGACCCAGATGATTCTATTATGGAAGTGATTCACAGGAAAATTTATCATATGTTACTAAATCGAATATGCCACCTGTTATAAAATGCACAATGAAAGAAAAAAAATACTGCCATTAACCTATGATATACTATTGATGTAAGACACTATCTAAACAGAGATATTAAAACATGAAAAAAATACATCTTGAAATTGAGGAAATATATAGTAAATTCATGCTCAACAATAGTAGAAACAACTAGCTTTTTTGGAGGGAGTCCATTTAGAATACAAATGTTCAGTTATTATCTTTTAAATTAAGAGCAAAGAACATTAAGACTTATGAACTTTATTTTAGTCTTTCACAATGTGAAAACTTTTGGTTATAGATAGTGTCAACGATTATACAATAATGTGACTATACTTACACATTTAAAATACACTTAAAACAGTTTAAAAGGAAAATTCTAATATGATATACATGCTACCACAATTACAAAGTAAAAACAAGAATTAACTCTAATTTGAAAAAATATATTTTCTTTGCACAAAATCTGTTGCATATACATTTTTCTCAAATGTATATGGAGTATTTTTAAGAATAAACCATATGTTGGGACACAGGTCAACTGTCAATAAAACTATAATGACTGAAATCACACCAACTATTCTCTCTGATCACAATGCTGTAAGACTAGAAATCAATTACTCAAAAAAAAAAAAAAAAACAAGAAAAAAAAAAAACAAAAGCAGACATTCTGTAGGAGAGAGGGAGGGAAAGGGATCAAAATGAGGGAGGGAAGTGCACAAGGGACTATGGAGATGGTGCATGGTGAAATGGTGGTGGAAATTCTATGAGGACTACATCTGAGAAAAGAAAGCAAAAACTGTAAGAAAAAATAAAGAATAATAAAAAAAAACAGGAAAAACCATAAATACATGGTAACTAAGTAATATGCTGCTTAATAGCTATTGGATTAAAGGGGAAATTAAGACAGAAATAAAAAAAATACCTCAAGACAAATGAAAACGAGAATAAAAGACACCAAAATGTATGGGATATAGCAAAAAAGCAGTCTTAAGATAACTGTATTGCAATGCAAGCCCACATTAAGAAGCAAGAAAAATTCCAAATAAACAATCTAGTACTACACCTAAAGCAACTTAAAAGAGAAACGAGAACAAAAGTTAGTAGAAGGAAGGAAATGATAAAAATCATTGCAGAAATAAATGAAATAGAGATGACAAAGACTACACAAAAGATCAGGGCAATGTTAATAATTAGAAACGAAAGAGGAGAAATTATCACAGATGGTATAAGAATACAAATAATCATAAGGAATTACTATGAATATTTTACACCAAAAACTTTGGTAACCTTGAAGAAATGGACAACTTTCTAGAACAATATGCTTTACCAAGACTAAACCAGGAAGAAAGAAAAGTTGAATGAACCAATTATATCATGGAAATTGAAGCAATAATCAAAAATCTCCCCCAAAACAAAGCCCAGAGCCAGATGGTTTTACAAGCAAATTCCATCAAACCTTTAAAAAGAACTTATGCCCATTTTGTCCATTTTCTAAAAATCCAAGAAGAGAGAAACTATAATACATTTTATGATGCCAGAATTACCTGCACCAAAACCAAATAAAGACAGCACAAAAACATATACAATTTAACAATAAAAATATAAGCAACCAAATTAGTAAGTGGGCAGTGGCTCTGAACAGACATCAAATAGGTCAATTAAACACATGGAAAAATGTTCATCATCACTTCTACTAAGGGAGATACAGGTAAAAATCACAATGAAATATTATATCACCCCAGTGAAAATGACACTTATTAAAAGATGCACATTCCAGAAAGGATATGGAAAAAGAGGAACCTATTAACTGTCAGAGGGAATGCAGACTGGTGCAGCAACTTTCTATCAAGAAAACAATCATGATAGCCCTAAAAAATTAAAAAGGAAAATAACATATGACCCAGCAGTTCTATTCTTGGGCATCTATCCAAAGAACATAAAACCATCAACTCAAAAAATTTTATGTTCTACAATGTTTACTGCAGCATTATTTACAATAGCTAGGATTTCTAAACAACTTAAGTATCTAGTGATAAAAGACTGAATCAACAAGCATATTCCACACAATGGAATTATTCAGCTATATTTGGTAGATCAGAGAGTACAATGCCTCAAAAGGGTATGAGGAGAGTTTAACTGAGATGTTATTCATCACGTTCCTTTGGAATAGGTCATCACTGGCTATCACTGTGTTTTGAAACTAGCTGTAATGATCTAACGGCTTTTTGCTTCTAATTACACTTTAATATTGTATTGCTGCAAGCACTATCTCTTTTTGTTAGCAAGACATTTTTGTGTTTGTTCTATTCATTTAGATATACCCAGATATTTAGCCAGGGTCCCGTTCTCCATGTTTTTGGATTTTTGCATTCCTTCCTGCATCTGGGAAGTTCCACCGGGAATCATCTTGCATCTACTGAGGAAAACCCGTTTAGGTTGCCTATATTGCCAAGTCTGGGTTTCACAAATTCCTTTAGCTTATATGGTCTGAAATGTCTTCATCCCATTCTTGAAGGACATTTTCTCTAGGTAATTTCTCTCAGACCTTTGAATGTATTGTCTCTGGGCTTCTATTTTTTTCTGTTATGAAGTCAGAAGTCACTCTAACTGTTGCTACTTTGTGTGTGTGTGTGTGTGTGTTTTCTGGCAGCTTTTAAGATTTTACATTGAGTTTAATTTTCAGTAGTTTTGCTATGAAACATCTAAGTATATTTTCTTTTATTTTAATTCTGTGACTTGTACTTAGACAGAAATGCTTAAATACATTGTTTTTGTACTGTTTCTCTTTAAGATCTTTGGACACATTAGAAATGTATATGAAACTTTCTCTCTCTCTCTCTCCCCCCCTCCCCCCACTCTTTCTTCCAGTAGTTTTCCATTATTTTATCTCTTTGGCTTTATTTTGGAATTTTTCTTCTTGACCTATGTCTAAAATCACTAATTTTCTCTTCAGTTATGTTCAATCTGCTCTTTCGACTGATTCACTCATTTAGCTGCACTTACTTTATTTTTAAATTCTAAAATACGCATTTAGTTTTCTTTATTTCTAGTTCTCTGATGAAATGTTCAATAATGTCTTTATCCTTTAGTATAACTGATACTGCTATTTTAGCATCTGGAGCTAATATATCTGGAGCTTCTATGGGTCTTTTCTTACTGTTTCTGTTCATGTTTCTCATCTCGTATTTCTGTTATCTCTAATTTTATGTTGAATATATTTATAAAACCATTTATAGAATTATTTGAGACCTAGGGTGATGCTTTCTTCAGAAAAGATTTAGGATTGCTTCTGCCTGGTGCCAAGAAGCACTAGCATTCAAGGGTCACCTTCATTTATTTTCAGAAACTGAGCCAACCCTGTTTCAGGTCCCCTTACTCCAGAGGTGTAAACTTTCAGATCCTATATCAAAGTAAGAAGTATTCACTAAGTATCATTTCCCTGAATGGCCCTGGAAAATCATTCCTGAGAAGCTGTCAAAATCACTGCTCGGCCTTGGGATCTCCTTGCCGGGCTCTCTGACATCACTCTAAGTTCCCAAAAGATTGAGAGGACAACCTCCATCCTCAAATCTTTTACTATTTATTCAATTCTCTGGAGATATAGACTAGATATTTCTTAGATTTTGCCCTTTTTCTTATATGTCCGGGATGATAGGATTTGAATGTTGCTATTGCTTCCATTTATTAGCATATGAGTATCTTTACCCCTGGAATTCAGAAATTTTATTTTTTTTAAAGAATATTTGCTTCCCACCACCCCCTCAGATTGAGCCCCATAGAATTTCCTTCCCAAGGCATCTGTGCACCATCACCATAGTCCTCTGTGCTCTTCCCTCTCTCCCTCTGATCCCTCTCCCTCCTCCTCCCCTGCAGTATGTGTCTGATTTATAATTGTCTGTTTTTGCTTTGTTGCATTTTGTATTATTATTTTCTTATACTGATGTCTTATTTGGTTCCCCTATATTCCTCCTATTAGTGAAACCATCCAATACTTTTCTTTTCCTTCTGGCTTTTTTCACTGAGCATAATTTCTTCCAGCTCCATCCATGTTGCTGCGAATGGCATGAGTTTTTTTGATTGCTGAATAATCTTCCATTGTGTATATATTCCACATCTTCTTGATCAAGTCATCTATTTTTGGGCATTTGGGCTATTTCCAGGTTTTACCTATTGTAAATAGTGCTACAATAAACATAGGTGTACAGGTGTTCTTTTGAATCAATGTTTTTGTGTCCTTTGGGCAGATCCCTAGGAATGGAATTGATATTCAGAAA